GTGAATTCAAGGTTCTGAGCAAGGCAATGAGCTTTGGGCGTTTCGTCGACGAGTGATGGTGGCGGGGAAACGGGCGCGTAAATGATCAGCACCCGAGTGGCCCAGACAGAGAGGCTCTACCGATTTCACACAAACGACACTGGTCTGTCAGCTCTCTGTCTGCAGCGACTTTCAATTAAACGGCCCCATGGTGGTACGAGCTTTGTGGACATCGTGTGGAATGGCGGCACGGATCGAGGCGAAGGTCTGAGGTCTACCTTTGTGTTGCCACGACTTGATGTTGCTAGTGCCAGCGGGCCGTGGTCTTCGGCTCCAGCCGAGGCCTGTCCTGACCCACCTCACTCAAGGATCACAGGAATGATGCTCTCCACATGTGGCCGTAAAAGAGTTTTCTGGCCATGACAATGCTTCATGGTCCGTTTGCGATGCACCGAGCTGCAATCCAGCAAGATCCCGATTTCATCTTGCGCAACCTGCTGCAGCAAGTTCGGCCTAGAAGGCCTTGTCGCCAGCACCTTGGACTCGGTGACAAGACATAATCTCTCATATTCGTAAAGACCCTAAATCAGAACCTTCCGATATTATACACCCCACCCATCTCGGAGACTCTGCCCTGCTGCTCGGAGAGCACAATATATCATCCCAGGCAGGCCGAAAGACATCCCCCTCGCACAACGTTTCTGACCACAATATAGCCCTGGTATGCGCAAGAACATGGCCCCATTCTCTGAGTTGAAGGCTAGTCGCCGCAGCTCGCGCCCTCTCGAGGAACCACTGGTACTGTGCTGTGCCCACCGAGGCTGCGAGACCGATGGTGAAGATCCAAATATCAAACGGCGAGGGATCGAGCTGTTCGCGGTTCTCGATCAGATTCCTGATAACATCGCTCATGATGACAGTATGTGGGTAATATGTTGGTCCCTGAATGATGAACATGTAGAGCGCAGTAGAGTACCGCAGGCATTGGCTCACGGGTGATGGGGCTGATATCGATGGATCTGGTGATGCCCGCAGAAGGCGATGAACAAACAAAACATGTCAGATCATGAAGTCGGTCGTCGAAAGTGCACTGCTCGCTGCGAAACATCGCAGCGATCACACGTTGCTGACGCGTAGTCACTCGTAGAGGCGGAGATCACATGGTAATCATCAAGGCCTGTGGCTCAAGCTGCACTCCGGGATAGGCGGTATGCCGTCCCCAATGCCGGCATCGTCTTGGGTTTCGAATTGCGGGTGGCCATGATGAGCATCGATGCCCTAGCGGTCTGTCAGTGTGATTCTGCAGTCTTAGTCATATCATGGTGGCAGAAGAACATACCAGCTCACCATCCTTGCCGTGAGAGGGCTGGTCTGCCGGACGGCGTTGATGCCGCCTCTCAGCTGGACCAATCTTTTGACCCCCTCAACGTGCGTGTGGCTCACATCAATGTTGCCTTTACCGTACTGGGTGGGGTATGTGATGTCAGAATAGAAGACGCAGGGACGTTGCACGTGAGAACCGACCTCTATCGTCGCCAGCGTGATGACCGAGTTCATCGTGCCATCTTGTACAGCCAACGACAAGTCCTCGACTTTCCGTCGCAGCAGAGCCACAGAGTCGGCCATCAGAACTTCCGACGACTGGAAGCCCTTCTGAGCGAGCAGCTCCTCGTCTAGACATGCCGTCTGCAGTGACACGTGGAAAAGGGCAGGGTCGCCCAGCGCGAGTGGCCACCAGGAAACGAGGAACGGATTTGATGTTGCGCTCAGGTCCAGGGGATAATATTGGAAAGCGATCTTATTGTGGACTGAAGCTGTGAGCCACCTCGAATGGACGAGTGAGCGTTGAAGCAGCAACGTACGATGTACATACAGCTATGGATGAGACGTTGCACCTGTGCCCTCGGAAGTCTCGTCTGTGGATACGAGTCGAATGGATCCAGAGATCCAAACCTGTAGGTGGTCAACGCGGAATGGCTACTGGAAGGCCTCGACGCCCATGTCTCCTCTCGGCCGGGCTGCTCGGAGGAGACTGGTGACGCTGTCAAGGGCTCGTTGGCGTAGAGGCATTGGACATTGCGCTTGAGGCAGCGAGAGCAGCGCGGCGTGCGCAGGTCGCAACTGTGCTTTGATCGTGCGCAGGCAGCACAGGACCGTCGAAGCGTCTGGCGCATCTTGAGTCGAGATGACCCGAGAGAGTGTCACGGGGCAATTCCCAAAAGATGCAGCGTCGATGTCTAAGGTTCGTCACGTCAACGTCGAGCCCCCGGATCTCGAGGAATCATGCGCACCAGGAAGGTGCGTGCCTTGTAAGGTACGTACTCTGACTTGGGCTGGGTCTTGACCCAAAGAGGACTAGACTCCGCAGAGACATGCCGTTGCACTTGGCGAGTCGAAGGCAATCGGAGTCTAGTCCTAATCAGGCTCCTGTTGGCAACTTCCATCATGTCGCGATGCCCTCCACAAACACTAGGGAGTGTCATCCGATTACCGACAGCCCATCGGAGGAGCTTTTGAAGCATGGTTCTCACTGCACCTTTGCCTGTTTTTACTTGCTACGGAGCCACTGTATGGCCCGAGCGGAAGCTTTCGGTGTCACAAGTAATCAATGCCTTGGCCCGAATGTCCGATCCAGCTTCAAGGCCCACCAGGCTGCGTGAGCCATGGGTCAGCGGCAATCTATAAGAGAGAAACATGATGTCCGTCATTCTTTGACAGCAGCTCGTTGACACGGGAATTATTGGTTTCTACACAATGGATGTTGACCACCTCAACACCACCGGCATGCCGCCTGAGCTGCCACAGTCATGGCCTTCCAGCACCCCTCAGTCACGAGACATGCTGCTCAAGTTCATCGCAGGATGGGCGGCATGGCAATACGCTGTGACCCTTTTGCTCGGTATTTTTGTCTATGACCAAGGTACTATGCAGCACAGATCACCAGGATGACCCATACTAACATCAGAACCACCAGTCATGTACATCAAGCGAAAAGGGTCGATCGCAGGTCCTCGGCTCAAAATTCCTCTCATGGGTCCCTTTATTCAAGCTCTTCACCCCAAATTCGAATCATACCTTGTTCAATGGGCCAGCGGACCTCTGAGTTGTGTTTCTGTCTTCCACAAGTGCGGACTACCATCCACTAGACTGCCCTGTTAAGACATGTCCTCTCAGTGATGCTGACATGTGTCTCCCTAGGTTCGTCGTTCTCGCCTCCGACAGAGATATCGCCCACAAGGTCTTCAAGACCCCCTCACATGCTGAGCCCTGCATCGTGCCCATTGCCAAGGATATTCTCGGCCACAAGGCCTGGGTCTTCCTTCAAGGCACGACCCACGCCGAGTACCGCCGTGGCCTGAAGCCTCTCTTCACGAACCAAGCCATCTCGACGTATCTCCCCGTCCAGGACCGAGTTCTTGACGTCTACTTTTCCAAGTTCATCTCCATGACGGAAGCGAACAGCGGACGCCCCACCCCTTTCATGGGCCTGTTCCGCGAGATCAACTGTGCACTATCGTGCCGCACCTTCTTTGGCGACTACATCTCCGACGACGCCGTCAAGAAGATTGCCGACGACTTTTATCTCGTCACGGAAGCCCTTGAGCTCGTGAATGTTCCTCTGTCCATGTATGTCCCTTTTACCAAGACGTGGCTGGGTAAACGCACCGCCGACGCCGTGCACGTCGAGTTTGCAAAATGTGCCGCCGCATGCAAAGCGAACATGGCCACGGGCGCGGCGCCGACCTGTATCGTCGACCAGTGGGTTCTGCACATGATGGAGTCGGAAAGGTACCGCGAAAAGGTTGCTGCCGGAGACACCGATGCCGAGAAGCCGAAGAATATGATCCGCGAGTTTACCAACGAGGAGATCAGCGAGACGCTCTTCACGTTCCTGTTTGCGTCGCAGGACGCCTCGAGCAGTGCCACTACCTGGCTGTTCCAGGTTCTCGCGCAGAGGCCCGATGTGCTCGACCGACTGCGCGAGGAGAACCTCAAAGTCCGGGGCGGCGATCGCACAAAGTCGTTCAACCTGTCCATGTGGGAGTCGATGACTTACACGCACGCCGTCATCAAGGAGCTTCTGCGCCACAGGCCGCCCGTCATTTTTGTGCCCTACCTCGCTACGAAGAATTTTCCCGTTACACCGAGTTATACCGTGCCTAAGGGGTCGATGATTGTGCCGTCGTGCTACCCGGCCCTGCACGACCCGAATGTCTATCCCCATCCGGACGTGTTTGATCCCGATCGGTGGATCACGGGCGACGCCGAGTCCAAGACGAAGAACTGGCTCGTCTTTGGGGCCGGGCCGCATGACTGTCTTGCCAGGCGGTATGTGCCGCTGTCGATGGCGGGCATGATTGGCAAGGCGGCGCTGGAGCTCGACTGGAAACACCATGCTACAGATCGGTCTGAGGAGATCCGCGTGTTTGCGACGCTGTTTCCCATGGTGAGTTTTGTTCATTTCGCCTCAACTGCAATTTCGCCTCAACTGCAATTTCGCCTCAACTGCAATTGTCGTTCGTATTTGCTAATTTGCAACATAGGACGAGTGCCCGTTGACATTCACGAGACGCCCGTAAAGCACTTATGCTACTCTGTTGGATAGGCATGTACGACTACTGAATTACTTTCATACGTGTGTAGCAAAATAGAAGTTGAACCGAACCACTTTATTCCAATTAAACTAGTCATAATCATTACCCGGCTCCTTCGTCCGGTAGTCTATCTATGGTATCGCCAGTGTCGTCATATAAAGTCTAGATTTTGTCTCATGCCCTCAAGATCACCCTCCATCAAATAATAGCGTCCAGCCCCAATACGGCGTACCGCGTGGCATAAAGACACCTGCCGCTGTCGCAGTTGGCATGGAATACCATCTGCCCGCCGTTTATAACGCTCGTCGCACCGCCAGGACTTACGAGCCCATAGTCCCCAGTCTGCAGCAACGGCCTCAACGACCTGATGTACGGGCCCTCGACCCTGCGACTGACGGCGTAATTAATATTATACTTATCCGAAGCGTAGCACCAACTGCTGAAGAAGAGCACATAGGTGCCATCCTCGAGCCTCACGATGTCCGGCGCCTCGACGAGCGGACCATCGGCCTCCGTGCGGTCGAGGATCTGCACGGGGTTGCCAATCTTGGTGAACCCATCCGGCCCAACCTCCTGCAGCATGATGGGCGTCGACACGACGGGGTCCACCGAGTTGCCGCAGTCGCCGCCGTTGCCGTCGTGGTTGCCGTCGACCTTGTACACGACGTACCTCCGCCCCGTGCCGGCGTCGTGGAAACCCGCCGGGTCGATGGCGCCGCCCTGGTCGAGGTGGCAGGCCCAGGGCTCGGGCATCGGCCGGTACGGCCCCGTCATGCTGTCCGCCAGCGCGACGCCGACGCAGTGTCTGCCGTCGGCGTCGGGCAGCTCGCCCCGAAAAGAAAAGAATGTAGCTGTCGTTTGCCCGTACGCCGGACGTCGGCGCCCACGTGTTGCGCCGCTCGTCCAGCTGTGGTCGGGCATGGCGTCGCCGTCGAGGTACGTCCACGGGCCGAGCGAGTCCGGCGCCACGGCGGCCTGGACGTTGCGGCCGCCCGAGTTTGTGGCGAAGGAGTACCACAGACCGTCGTCATCCTGGAGAATGCAGGGGTCTGGAAAAATCCGTCTCGAGCTTGACGTCGCCCGTGCCGGTGGTTTCGTAGGCGTAAAGCGGCTGCATGGGAATCTGAGTCTCAATGGGGGATGCCGCCGTGAGGGGGAGGATGGCCGCGAGGGCGGCGGCCGCCAGGAGGCCTTGTGCCTGTGAAGGTATCATGATACAGTTGAAACTATGGATGAATTCAATCGACGACTTAAACAAACTCTTGATAGGCGAGATCTGCGGCGCATACATCTCCGGGGACAGCTACATTCAGCTGGGCCGTCTCACGCCTTTGTATTCCCCCCTTGCCTAATGCAGGCACAGAGCGTTTACACTCTCTCTTCCCCCTCCCCCCCCTCTCCCCTTTTTTTGCTCAGCCGCCGAGGGCTGGACTGACGCAAGTCTGCATCCCTAGCTTCTGCTCCCGATCGGCCGCGCAAAGCATGACAGTCACGGCGAGGTCATCCAGTCCCGCATCATGCTCCACGCGCCGCCCGCGGGTCGGGGGTTGTAAAAAGGGGGTCTGTGAAGGGATGTCATCGAAAAGAAAAACCTCCGAGCTATGCGTCCCCGGCAGTCCAACTTACCAACCACCAACCACCCCGGGCATTACCTCAGCCCTTTAATCGGCCTCGCGGACGGCCTAGGACGAATCATCACGTTTCGCCATGGCACGTCCCGACCGGGGACTTCCTGGTGTGACACGGGAAAAAAAGGGGGCAACTGCCAACAACCTTGACAACTGGATGTGCATCAGACGAACGAACAGCACATCCTGAACACGTCTCCATGACGTGGGAAATTGTGGGCTTCATCTGCCTCTGAGATCCTTGAAGAAAAATACATTTTGTGGTACCAGCGAAAAGGAAAACAAGATGATTTGCGTTGAAGCAGGTCTGAGCGGGCGTTAGGGCGTCGATTGCTAGGCTCGGCTCACCAAAGTGTTCGGTCATCACTGTGTAGATGGGCGAGAGAGAGAGATCTCGATGAGACCCTGAGGCTGAATGCTCCCTGGGGATGGGAATGGAGATGGGGTGGATGAGATCTGCGGTCGGCATCTGAGACCAGACGGAAGCCAAGGACCGCATGAACGTCATTGCTCCGCCCACTAGCTAACGTCAAGCGGTCGGGTCGTGGTCTGTCCTTTCGCATTGGGCATCTGGAATTGCATGTTTCGCAGTGCTCTGGGCCCGACGATAGAGGTGCATCGGCCTCGCGGCGCATGCCCCAGCACATGCAGCAATGCGCCTGCAAAAAGATAGGGGCGGCACGCGGCTGCAAGCAACGCTTCGACACGCGCCTGAGTGAGCATTCACCGTCATGATCACGGGTCTTGCTAACCAAACACTGCATTGTTCTCATATCGCCATCTACTCCGATCCAGACAACAAAGACAATGTTCACAAATTCATCCAAACGCCTAATGCCCAAGCCATTTTAGTGGTACAACGGCCTTGCCACCCAACGGCCGATGCAACGGGGAAAGTGGTATCGCGCCAAACCGCCGTGTCCATCAACGTGTCGGCTCAGAGAGACTCGACTTAGTCGCTCTCCTCGTCGCTGTCGCCCTTGGACTTCTTCGCCGCCTTGGCCGCCTTCTTCTCCGCCTTCCTGCGCTTGCGCTCGGCCTTCTCCTCAGCCGTCTCGCCCTCGTGCTTCTTGCGCTTCTTCGAGTCCTTGTCCTCGGCATCCGAGGCAGCGGCGGGCGTCTCGGCGGAGGTCATCTCCGTGTCGACGGCAGCGGGCTTGGCGGGAGTGGCGGGCGCGTCGGCCTGGGCACCGCCGCTGAAGTCCTTGTACTCGGAAACCCACTTGGCGGGTGTCGCCTCGTTCGGCCTGCCGTACTTGTCGAGCTTGCCGTCAGCCTTCATCTTCTTCTTCTCCGAAGCCTGGGGACCCAAGCCCCACTTGCGGGGGTACAGGTCACGCTCCATGATGCAGCGCTTGATCTTGGCAACGACGCCGTGGTCTATGCAGGTCAGTAGATAGACTTAAATAGTGCCATGGTGTTCGACATACCGCAGGTCGACATCTCGACGGTCGACATCTGGGCGATACCCAGAGCGATGGCCTCGCCCTTGGTGGTCATCATGACAACCTCATCGTGGACCTCAATCTCGGACTCTGCGTGGCATTAGTAGTGATCCCAATGTTCAACGGCGGCCAGACATACCGTAACGAAGGAGACCGGGAAGCATGAGCTTGGCACCGTAGCAGACGGCGTTGACAGCGCTGTCCTTGACGACAACGCGCTTGTAGCTGGTGAGGAGAGTCTCGAGGGGAGAAATGACCCTGCGAAGGTAAGACTCGTCACGGGTGTTGTCCATGGTCCACTGGGCGTCGAGGACGTCGTGGAGGGTAACGAGACCCTTGTTCTCGTCCATGGCACCGGAGCGCACACGACGGAGCTCCTGCATGTGGGCGCCAACACCGAGAAGGAGACCCTGCGATTCTCGTTAGCTTATCTTTCGGGTGCGATACCTTGACCAAAACATACCAGATGGACGCAGAGGGTACGGATGTAGGTACCGGCCTCGCAAGAGACCCAGAAGACACCGAGGTGGCGGTCGTTGTCGAACTCGATGACCTTGGACTCGTGGATGGTACGGATACGGAGCTGACGCTTGACGGCCGAGATCAGGGGAGGACGCTGGAACAGAGCACCAGTGAGGGCTGTAAAGCGTTAGTCTGAGAACTGAACAAGCATTGGCGATGCATGCTTACTCTCGAGAGCACGAGCGAACTGGACCTGGCCACCGGGGAGCTTGTCGTGCAGGCGGATGACGCAGACATACTCCTTACCGGCACCCTGCTGGCTCTTCACGAGCCTGGTGGCACGGTCGATACTAGGCTTGTTAGCGATAGGATCTGGGTGACGCGAAGCATTGAACCTACCAGACGATCAGGCAGCCCGTGACCTTGGGGTCAAGAGTACCACTGTGACCAGTCTTTTCGACACTGTGAACTATTAGCTACAATCCAACGAAAATGAAAATGCGCTGGCAAAATCGGGGGTTCCTCCGTGGCCGCTGCTGGTAAAGATGTGGCGTTGTCGCAAGCAAGGCCGTGGATACTTGGAGCATCATTCGGACAGGCATGGGCGTGTGCATTCAAGCGTGTCGTGACATCGCTTTTGCACTTTCAGGCCACAAGACTGTTGCCGCAATGATTGCCCTGTTCCACGCCTCCTAGCAGCAGGAACCACGTTGGAACCCTCGAATGTATTGCCGTTTCGCGTCGTCAGGGAGAGAAGGCGTACCGGAGCATGCGCTTGAGCCAAGCGACGACCTCGTGGGAGCTGGGCTGTAGAGCTGTCAGACCAATTGTTCCACTGACACATGACAATCGTCTCTGGGAAAGGGCGAACGCACGTTGGAGGGCTTGTCCAGGTTGATGACACCACTGGAGATGTACGACTTGATGTCACGCTTCAGCGGGCTGCATCCGGCGGGGATGGGCGTGAAGTGACCGGTGCGAACGAGGACTGCAGGCTACTCGTCAGCAAACGATGCAACTCGATCGTGTCTCTCGAGGAGGAGAAAACTTGCGCTTGTCATAGTTCTTGAGCAGCAGAGGCCAGCTGCTGGTGTCGAGCTGAGGAGTGGCGGCCTGGGGCTTGATGGAGTACTCCTCCTCCTCGCCGTGCTTCACGATCTCCATGGTCATGTTTCGGGCCTCGGTCGTGCCTTCTTTCTTCGCGACTTCCTATCTGCAACGGGCAATTGACCTCGTGGGGGCGAGTGTCTGGTCGAGCAGTGGGTGGTCGGGTGTCGCGACTGATTCTTGCTGATTGAGCTTTGTCTGGTGTTCCTCTGGGCTGGCGGGTCGAAGCTTCCAATTTTTTTTCTTCGACTTTGCTGTGGGGGGAGCTGCGACCAGAAAAGGCGCCTCTGATTGGATGGTCGATTTCACCAGCCACAGCAATGGCGCTGTCAGCCACATTTGACGCTTCGGTCGCCTTATCAGGGATCGTTATCAGCCGCTTGCTCTTTTCTAACGCCTGGTCCCGCTACAAGGCCAAGACCATGAGCTCGGCGATGCCAGAACTCGTGCCCGGTCTGAATGGTTGCTGCCTTTCACATACACTCCTCGCTCACGTGTCCCAGCCACATCATCGCCCACACTCGGTTTCTCCTGTTCTCTTTCCGACCTCCCTTCAGAGCATGAACAAAAATCTCCAACATGGCCAATTATTGTGCACTGCTACGCCCTTAAATGTTGTGACTTCTTTACAGGTGCGATGAAATCAGCAAGTTTATCGGTTATTTCTGTGCTGTATGCTCACATATCTTGGCATACTCCAATTAACAAGAATAACAAGGATTTGCAAAGAATGAGTCTCTCCATCGGACCGATCGATGCGCAGCTGGTATAAGACTCCAAACTCCCCCACTTCCCCCTGATCATTAAATTGTACACCCGGAACCCCCTACCAAGCATAGCCTTTCCTCAGATCCTCCTGCGGCGAGTCGTGGTAGTCTGCCGGGTTGTACTGAGCATATATGGGTCTCTCCGGCTCGTGGATCGGCTTGATGTTCAATGCGGGCGCCAAGTGCTGGCCGTAATTTCCTTCGACCTCCCGAAGCTCGTACGACTCGTCTCCAATAGTCTTGCCCTTGACATCCTGCTGCCACACAGGGGAAGGCTCAGGCCCGCCCAGCGCAATGCCGACGTCCTGTTGTACCGTCCGCATCTGCGGCTTGTCGGCAGGCCAGGGCATATTGCGCCCGTCCACAGCTGTGTCTGGGCTGTTGAACTGTGAAGAATAAGGCGAAAAGTACCTCTGGTGAAACTTTTCCGTATTGGTGCTTTGGGGAGAGTTGTCCCAGTCCCTCAGCGGCTTCTGGCTCTGTGGTGTGTCATCCCAGCCCCGAAAGGGATGCTGGCTCGAAGGGCTCTCGAAGTAGTCGCCTCCCGAGGTGTTGATGGGAGTGGGCCAAGCGGCGCGGGCCTTCTTCATCTTTTCGTCGTAGGTTCTCAGAAACGTTCGACGCTTCCTCCTGCCGTTGCAAATGATGACGAAACCGACAACGACGAGAATGATGAGAAGCGCCCCGAAAGCGATACCGACCCTCGCATCGAGGCTCAGTGGCCCGGGGTAGTAATTAGGAATGTTTGTAGTGATGGGCGTCGGGTCGGTGATGTTGACCGCATACGTTGTGAAGGGCGACCCATCGACGGACACCTTCGAACCGTTGACTGGCATCTGCTCGCAACCAGCTTGCAAAACAGTCATGACTTGAGAAGATCAGCATGGGGACATGTCGCTCGCTGTCAGGGGGCCTTACAGTTGGCAAGGAAGTGGTTGCTGCCAGCGCGCAAACAAGACGCGCATCGAGGCAACTGGTCGTGTATCCAAGTCGAGCAGTATCCGTACGCCGTACCGTTTGGCTCAAGCTCATTGTACGTGACTGCACGCTTCAGTGGTTCACACGCGGTACTGGAGGTCGGGTAAGCGATGTTTGGAAAGAGAAAGAACAGTTGGGAGTGTCCTGCGACATACCTCGTCAAGCAAGGGCTGGAACCGACATCATCATTCTCCGGGTAACCGAAGAGACAATATGAAACGGCGTATCGAAGGTTGTCTTGGGAAATTAGTTAGTACTGGAATTGCTTCCACCATGTCAGACAAGGGAACTGACAAAGAAGCCATTGTGTGTCCGTCTCGTCTCCATTGCCAAAGCCGCTGTTCAGCTGGCATGTCGTACATCGCTCGAACACGCCGCCCTCGGCGCTCGTGCCGTAATCCTGCTCCTTGCAAACGAGGTCATCCGTCGTCGTTGCACTGAGGACATTTCCGCAGAGTGTTCCGCACGGCGAGCTGTCAAGGGCTTTGATTGCCGAGGTCCGGCTTAGGCACAGCCCAAGCCAGAGCGCTGCTGTTGTGAAATGCATCTTGGTGAGAAGAGGGTAGCGGTAAACGTAGGTTTCTGTTCGTCTGCAGCTTCGATGCTGGGATGAGAGCGCAATATGAGGATGGTTCCGTTCGGATTGCCAAGCTACTTCGGGGTTCGTATCACATCCCGGCGCAAGAGTTTTCGACGGGAGCCGCAAAAGCCGTACAGTCTCGAAGTGGTCTACTGTCGAGGAGCAGGACTAATACAATATTCGAGCTCGAGGATGGATCAGTTGGCTTCTTCAATCCCGCGGGGCCGCACTCATCGCAGAGTGTGATGATGAGAAGCGGGGGGATTGTTGGTGTACCGGCTGTGATGGATGTGATGAGAAGCGCTGTGTGTCTGCAGGGTCGGGAGAGCGACCTGTAGCTGCCGTCTGTTGGCGCAAGCATCAGTCCCGGCATGGGGCTGGGCTCCAATACCGTCACACAGCTGCAGCTTGCAGGTCTTCGTTTTTGGGGGCCGCCAGCCGCCGACCAGACCCGTGTGGTCGCACCAGAAGTCCATGGCTCTCATGTTGTGTTCACCTCGTGTGGTTTGTTGCTCACGACAAGGGGTCGGGCCAAGCAGGGGTGGTTGGGGGTTACGATGGCGGGGGCTCACCTCCATCCACGAGTCGGGGCTCTGTTTGCCGCTGAGGTCCGCTGTGCTAGGCCTGTGTTGGCAAACATACGGCCAATCAGAGGCTGTATCGAGTGACCATGCGCGTGCGAAAATGCAAGGCACTTGCGTTCTTTCACACGCCACGGGCCAATTCGACAACGAACGGACTATGCTGTGCTGCTGATTGGCCGCTCAACTCGCTCACCCTCAGACTAATGTGAACCACGGGGCATGATAGTCGACCATTCACAGACCCTTGAAGCTTCATTCGTTCGGCTCGTCCCCTGTGCTTCGATGTGATCGGAGCTGCTGATATGAGAAATGTGTCTTGTGTCAATGCCCACCATAACTATCTGCATGAGCGCAAGATGGTATTCGCGGGCGCTTGTCAATCAATTTCTCGGCAGCGGTGAGTCCAGGTGGGAGGCATGTATCATTCGGCAGGCGGTCCTCTCCTTGGGTGCCAGGTAGACCATGTAGTCAACCTTTTGGTGGCACATTAGGCGGGCGCTTCATCAGCGACCGTGCTCTCCATCACGCCCGCCCGGGCCGGTCTGTCTCCCTGGTCTGCTTCTTGGAATCGTGTCATCGTGTGCTTCTACAGACCTAAATACGCGTGAATAGATATCATACAATCAAGGAGACTCATAGTCCTAGCCGAGCGACCTCATCCCTAGCCCTTGCTCGCCCCATCTTTTGGCCTAGCCACTTTATCCCGAGAGCCTGATAAAACGTCGTGAATGTGCTTGATGAAGCAAAACAGTGCATTAGCCAGCACATAACCAAGGCAAACAAAAAGAATCAAGTCCAAAAAGTGATGCCAGTCATGCCGGCCTTTTGGCCCACCAGGCACCGGAGCATCGACCCACCATCATGCATCCGCCTCTGTGAAGTACCCTCAGGAACGCATGGAACTGCCCGTTGCCGAACTCCTCGCTTCGAAACAAAAAGAAAAAAGATGAGAGAAAAGCTGGGAGTGCATAGGGGCAATCCATCTAAAAGCCTTCTACTGGGTCACCATCAAACGTGACTATGCGTTACAATTGGACGAGTTCCCGGTCCACGCAACGCATGACGGAGGCTTTCTTGTCCAAATTCATCGTCAGCTCATCCTCGGCGCCATCAGTATCCTCGAGGGAATGGATAAAAACCATAGCCTTGGGTGTTCTCAATTCGGTTGGCGTTGAAGGAGATCGGCTCGAACTCGAAACAGTCTTCAGAGAGAGCGTCTCAACCGCAGTAGACGAGCTGTCGAATGAACCTGTTGAATAGATGCTGTCGTCGAGGAGGTTGACTTGGTGAACTGTGTTCCGTGACAAGAACTGAGTACCCATGCTGAGCTCGTCTTCATTTGGGCGAATATTGTTGTTGGGGATGGCGACAGGCGTCGGTCGTCTGGGAGAAGCCCGCGCCAACGGCTGTGAGCTTGAGTCCCGTTCACCTGCATTACTGTTCCTCGACGCCCGTCCGTGTACCGGACAATTGGGACAAACGACAGACTCAACCCTCTCGTAGTTTGCTGCACCTGTGGACCCAGATCTCGGCGCCCCAGCTGAAATAGACTCTCGTCTGCGACTGGACTGCAGCGTCTGACTCCGGAAGTGATTCCGAGACTGAGGCCTTTCCACTGACACGTGTCGAGGGGAAGTATTATTGTACCCTGGCTGCCGCCCTCTATGTAGTGAGCGAGAAGTCGAGGAGGTCCTGTCATCGACTACTCGGATAGGTGTCGTAGATCGGGGCTGACGGGCTCTGGTTGACTGTTTCTCCGCTTCCGTGACTGAGGATGATCTCGCATGGTGCGCCAAGCGAGACATTGGCCGCGGCAAATCTTGCCCAACAAATGCATAGCTGGAGAGCGGCCTGGACAGCTCATTACCGATCATGATCGGGAAGTCCTGGGTCAAAAAGGACGCTGCGGCCTCGGTAGGACGGCTTCGACTGCAGTTGCGAGACTTGGGGGAAGAGGGTCTGTCAAACATTGCGGCGCGAGGGTCCTCAATCGCAGTGACACACCTGTCGCTCATATCCTGAGCGAGCTGCAAAACAGGATCTATCTGCTGCGCAACTGCTCTTGCCTCTGTAGGCTGATAAGACAATGTTGACGTGTCACCAACATTTGCCTGATCGCTTGTCTTGGTCTTTGCTGGCGAGACGGATGCGGTTGCTGCTAGGTCTCCTTGATATTGCGGTACACCCGAGGGCTTGAAAGCCTCGTCAGTGCTCTGGCCTGCGTAGCTACCCGATGTCTGATGTGTGCGCCAGGCCTCGCCGCGTTGGGACGCGTCGAAGCCCGAGCCACGAGCTGTCGTCCCAGAGGGCCGCACTGTGTTGGAACGGTGCGCAATCGAAGGTGGTGTTTGTGATGTACGATCATACACCTGCGTCGAGATTGCCCTCGTAATCTGAGCGGCTCCGGTGGAGGTCAAGCCATGATATTCCATCGTAGCCTGCAATACCTCGTCTGGAGGTCTCCAAAAGAAGCGCGGTGACGAAGGCGTGTCAGCCTCACGGAATGGTGAAAGAGGGACAAAAAAGTCGTCCACGTTAGCTCTGATTTCATCGCCACCATATCTCTCATCCGGGAAGGCTCTGGGATAACCGCTTAATGGGAGACCACTGTCAGGATAAGGCGTGCTTTCAGCTGGGGGTCTCTCGTTCGATCTGACGGACTGATTGGAACGCACGGAGTGAATTGAGTATGTTGACTGGGTGCTCTGCGGTTCGGGGCTAATAGGAGTCCAGCTGAGCGTCGGGGATTGAGGTATGATGAGCTTTGGTCGAATGGCCATGGGCGTTGGGCTTGGGGCACTCGGCGTTGGAATTTCACTGTTGTTGAATCCTGGAGACTTTTCTGATGTAGGTTGTGACTCCCTAGTGTACGCCAAAGACTGCCGAGGCACGTGGGTCAAGGGTGCAGGCCTTCGTTTTGTTCTTGTCGTCGTGTTTTCACGATTCCTCAGCTCAGCGGATCCAGTGGAAGATGTCTTTGACCCAGTCGGCGAAGAAGGATTCTCTTGAAGGTTCTGTTCTGAGGGTGCAGACTGTGACCATGTACTGGTAGACGAGAGCTTGGATGATTCAGTTGATGGCGATAGCCCTGTTCTCTGGAGTTCGACCTGAGCAGACGACGAGTCCCCGTTCTCGGGGCGATACACAAGTTTGGCAAAAGGGGCGTTCTCTGTGTCGACGATGAGCAGTTCTTTTTGGCCGCGGCCCAGAAGGCCATAAACCTTGACCTCACCGCCCTGGATCCCGACCACAGCACTTGTGCCAGCGTAGATGACGTCGTCCTCAGTGCCTGTTCTGTTGCAAAAGACCACGATGATCTCGTCGTCGTTTTCGGCGCGGATGAGAGGCTCAAGCCTCGTGACCCAGTAGGTAAGGGTTTCCATGTCTGGTTCGTTGGGCATGCGACTGAAGGCCCTTCCCTCTTCTCGTGTTAACCATGCCATGGAAACGATGACAAAGTTGGACTGGTACTCCAGTATATGGTATCCGAATTCGAAAGCGTCCCATGGTGCCTCAAACCTATAGGGGCTGCCGCAAGTCAGTGATGAATTTGGAAACAATTGCTTCGTGAATAGCTTACTTGAGGTCCATGCCTAGCGAATCTGTGTTAGCTGTAGCTTCCGAAGGCCTGCGACAGTATATAACTCACAGATCCCGATGGAGGTATAACCCAAGCCTGGGATGTATCCCTCATAGAACCCCGTGTCTCCTTCAAGGGCCCACGTCTCGTCGGTATAGTAAAGGAAAGACTTGCGATAGTTCGCGACCGTCTTGCCATCCCCGTTGACAACAATGGCCGAGTTGTAATATTCAGGGCCAGTGGGCCACTTCGACGTCACGTCCACCTTCTCCGGGTAGCCAACGACGACATTGCAATTGTACTTGAGCGCGGTGGTCCGAGCCCATAGCGAGGTGATGCCGGATCCAGATGGCTCTAGATACGGGGCAATCTGATCTAAAGACTTGAAATTGTACCCTGTCGCTCAAAGGTCAGCCATGTCTTGGGGTTTTGGTCGCCTGACTGAGCAATGCGCCTGTCTGTCGCAGTCGAACTCTCGGAAGACGTCGCTGTCTTCTGGACATGGCATTGCTTCGTTCGAATGGTCCCCGTCCTTTCCATAGACGTACCCGTAAATGCCAGCTCAGGCAGCACCAAAAGATCGAGTTCCTCGGGGTTCGCTCTGCTCAAGACGGCGTCGGCCCGGTTCAGGTTATTGTCGATGTCGCCGACCTGCGGCGCGAACTGAAGACACCCAATCCTCATCGCTGGCGTGGGGATGCGCCACGTCTGAAACAAATGATATCCGGGCCAGTCGATCCATGAACAAAGGAACTATCACCCAAACCTTCGAGATTAAGGAGAACGAGATCGCAGACGAAGGGAGACAACGGAAACAGTCGACGACGACGTTGTCAAAAAGGCTTCAGGTTAGGATATATGGGGCAAAGGTGGGTGAGCACAGAGGGGCGGCGAGTGATCTGGGGTTGGGGGGTAATGGTGACAGGGAGCTGGGACCCGATGAAAGGGCTCAGAGTGAGGGACTAGGACACAGGCTGGCAGAGCCAACGGAAGGAGGGCAGTAAGCGCCCTTCGCGTCGTGTGAGCCGACAACGAGATCACATCTCCCGCACCCAGGAGGCTGCTGGAGCCCCCGTTTTAGCGCCACGCTAGCGCGCACAGCATAAGCTCATGGGCGCAGGGCTGGTTGCGAGGGTCAGAAGACGCCTGATTTGGCAGCTCCCCTCCCCGCAGGCCATATCACCATGTGCCAAGAGAGGTGTGCCACGAGAGGCAGGTTAATTCCTTCCTGCTCCGGAGGGAGCATGGCACGCAAGTCTCCGAGACCCCAATCTTCCTCCATCGGATCTCAAGATCTCCGGGATTCTAGCATATCAGATCTTCACACGCTTGCTGTTCCGAATACCTGGATCCAAATCGAACACTCTGCGCTTGTTGCGGACGAAGCCCTTCATTATGGTTTAAACGTGTTGCCGCAGATGACCTGCCCTGGAGGGTTTGCAGACTGACCATGACACGCAAGAACGCGCCGTATCAGCTGCTCACCGCTTTTACAATTGTCTGCAGCTGGTAACCTGGCTGTGTCTCCTCTGTTGGCATCGTCGATTTTCGTTGGAGGCTAAGCGCTGCCCATTCGCGCAGCAGGCGATAGGGCGGCTGGCCAGAGGAGCGCCTCGTCAAACCATCCCTTATCATTGGCTTGGTCGGGTCACCATGCAAGTTGATTGCCATGATAGGAGGGGAGCCCACAGCATGGGAAGACACCTGAAACCTGCCAGGCGCTCGCAGGCCTTGCTACCTACGTTGGACCAGCATATCTGCAGAAAGATCCGCAGAGATCCCCAAGCAGACTGAACTCCCACATGGTTATGTTCATGATGTAGTAGGAAATGGCAGCCAACCCAACAGGCGCAATGACATAAGACAAGAACAATTTGAGGGTTGTGCCTGTCCACTGTCCAGTGTCGACTGTGAGTATCAGATGGGTCGACCAACCCCTAGTTTCTTCGTTGCCCAAAGATACGCAATCTCTCAGTACTTCTCTGTCTTCTCCGGCCCCTTGTCACCAAGCCTGGTATTGTCATTGATGTACCTGAACCCGAAGAAGGCGCGCCTATCCCGTTTCTCACTGCATCAACGTCAGTCATGTGACGACACGAGCATCATCTGAACCCTGATTACTCACTTGGTCAAGGTCATGGTAGCCACATCCTCCTCCGCCTCAGCATTGTAGCCCCACGAGACGCCCCAGTTGCTCCCCTCGCACGGCTTGTCGAAAAAGCTCATCTTGCCCGGGTCCTGCCCCTTCTTGCCGCTATGTGACACGACACACAGGACAGAGTCAAAGTCGGGATGCTCAATGGTGAAGATGAGGGCCATGCCAGGCTTTTCCTCAGACTGCATGACATCTGCATCGTGTGAGTGGCCACGTCTGCGTTCTCAGTGGCTGTTCATTGCTTTTCACATACAGCGATACACATCCCCGAGCGACCATTCGGACGCGTACTCTAAGCTATCCTCGCTGCTGCGAGGCACAGACCGCACCAGCTCAGGTGGGTTCTGGAAGATTTGGTCGTTGTCGTCGCTGCCCATCGCGGATCCCGGCATGAACCTGGCGATGTCCAGCCACGTGGTCCCGTCCTGGGCCAGGGCACGCCACGATGGTTTGCCTTTGGCATCCCAGGCGATGATCGTCGTGGTAGCGTCTTGGTCGCCCCAGAGGCGAACAATCTCTGCATTGTCCGCCTCGTGACATGGCGTCGTCGGAACATCAACCTCGGCGCCCTTTGTGTTCTCTAACGCCTGTCTCTCCGGCGGTCCTTCGATGCTGAATTCGCAGAACAACGGACGAGTGCCATCCGTGGACGTCATGAGTTGCTCCAAGTTACAGCGGTTCTCCGCGGCGGAGCATACTCGGCGATTCAGGAGAATGATGCTGAGCCCGGGCTTGGCTTGTGTCTGGTAGCCAGGTGGCAGTATATGGGCGAAGCCACGACAGACGAAGCTGAACAGACACCAAACGGCAGCGAGCATCGTGATCCTCAGTACACAGCAAGAGAGCAACGGCAAGGAAGTGATGGGCAAGTGTCGGAGCGATGACCGTCTACAGAGGTCTGAACATTGTCTATATACTCACGGAGAACACTCAAATCGCAATGCTGAATCCTAGAGCGGGAGGCAAGCGGTGTTACGCAAGCATAGCTGCTTCCCACTGGGCTAACCTTATGAATACAAGCTTCCACGACGCCGTCGTCAGCAACGGGAAGCTTCTGTCCAACAAGAGACAGGCCACAATTCACATGCTCGCACAACGGCAACATGGCTCGTTTGTATGCTATGTTGCGGCTGCATCAGTGCCCTCAACTGCCAAACTATGGGCAAAGCACGGGTCATCCAACGAGAGCTCTTTTGAAGGAGACGGCCAGAACGAAATCCCTTCTCGCTTCATGTTCCGAAGTCTGAACTCCAAGAATAGGGCAAGACAGATCTCTGTCTAGATGGACAGACCACGCGATTCATCCATGTCAGGGAAAGTAACTCACGGGATCTTGGAGGGGCCAAGCAAAGACACGAGAATTGGCATCACCCCTTCCCAAAAGAAGTCCTGTCAGGTTGACTGGTAGTATGGTGCGCTAGCATCCTCTGTTGCGGGGACACGGGTATCACGCAGCAGTGAACAAGTGCTGAGCAGAGTGATACGACATGACCGAAAGGGCTCGAAAGAGCCCACAGGGTCAACTTTTAGATGATGATTGGATCTAGGCCGTAGGACATGCGAGGCTGGCAATGTTGAGGTCGATCGATGACCGGATTGGACCTAGACAGAATCTTAGAAGACGACCTCGAATTGGAGATCGCTTGGTCGACGGGGTCGCACAGGCCTGAATCGATCTGTTGCCATCCGAATCATGTCGCACGGTTGTTTATCTTTGTGAAAGAGTGATGCTGGGGCCCGAAGCATATGATCACGGTGGCCATATGGCATAGCCAAGTGGTGAAATATCTGGCCATCGGCCTTGAGTCTGTTGGAGAGCGAAAAGGCGGAGTGTGGTATGGGCGTGTCAAAGTCATAGAAGGCCGAGTCAAGGAACCATGGCTAGATATATCCTCAGAGATACCCATCCGGCAGCTGCAACCTAAAAATATGTCCCGAGTCAAAAGCAACTACCGAAGACATGTTGCCAAAAACAAATTTGACGGTGCAGTGGTTCTGGGGTCCGGAGCTGGAGCGCGCGGCAGGGTGGCCTGATTTTGCAACAGCAGATGACGAATATGATGATCTGTGAGTCGTCGATTCCCGAGGTAAAATCACGCGCCTGGATTCGTAGAGAGAGAGAGAAGCGGAGTGGGTGACTCGCAGTCGGCACTTGCGAGAGTGGGTTGGATGGTGAGGTGGAGGGGAGAGAAAGATGGCAAATGGATTAAAGTGGAATGGAGAAGAGGAGAGGAGATAGCGGGAAATGCAGCCACTGTCACACTCGCTACTATTCGTGGCTGTCCTTTGCCGCGCTGTCGGCTCCAGGCTCGCCGTCAGTGGAGAGACAACCGCCAGCGCGGTAACGAGACTCTCAAGCTTCTAATGTGGAGCTGCCAGATCGTTCAAGGTGGAACCCCATGAGGGTTCAACGGTCGACAAGCAGGCCTCGCTGGCACCAGGAGGCCCCAACCGGTGGCCTGCCGGTGTTTTCGAGGTCAGGTATCAGTTGAAGGCACTGGCTGACTGGCTGACTACACGTCGTTCTTTACTCGTGCGAAGCATCTCATTGGCTCAGGACAGGGTCATTTGGGAAGAGTCCGTTGGATGCATCCATGATGGAGCAAGGTGCGAGGACAACTTTTGGACACGTGCGAAGCTGGGTGTGGCGAGAAGACATTGTCAGGAGGGAAAGGAAGGGGGAAGGCTAGGAACAGAATGGCCTGATTTCCCCGCTCACGTCGCTTCAAAAGGCTGGGCAGACTGGCATATGCAGTCAGTCAGATTACAGACCGAAAGAGGCCAGCGGACGGGAAGGTCAGGCCGGATAATGCCAGCCACCATGTAGGCCAAAAACCCCCCTCCATTCGAACGACGTCTTGGCGCGCCAAAAGGCGTAGAGGGTGGAGGGGTGGCCGCGCCGAGCGGCCAGCGCCTGCAAGAACCATTCATCCTGTGCTGTTGCGTTTCAACCTCCCCGCCCTTTCTCGCCGTCTTTGCCCAATGGCAACAGTTCGTTTCCCCTCATCCTTGTCGATCTCGTTGACTTTGGCGCCCGGAATCCCACCAACGGCCCCTCATTGGTTTGACCCGATCGCGTCGAGAAGGAAGTCAGGGCGCACAGAGCCGTCATTGGATAGCTACCATGCCACTCATCTTGGGCGTTCGGTCGGACCCTGGCGATTCTATTCTCAGCAACACATGTGCTTTCCCTACTCGTCTCCCGCTAGATTCTCGATGTTTTTGAGTCGGCTGCACTTTGGCCATCCGGCTGGCCAGGCGGGTTGGCAGCCTGCCTAGCTCCACGAACCACACCAAATTTACACGCCCACCTTTGCTTGCAGCACACTTGCAGTAGCCATCCTTGCAATCTGAATGTTCGCTCCGGAAGTCTGCAGCTCGTCCACGTTCTGGCATATATCTCCATCTCCTCCCACAAGCGACCATGGGTCCGCTCGAGATGAAGCTTCTTCCACCTGGTCAGCCTCGTGGCCATATACCTCTTGCGGACAGACCTTCTCGCCTTGCTCTACGCCGATGAAGCCCTCTTGTGCCGGCTTGGTAATGATCTCCAGAACTTGACATCAACCGCCCCGACCCTTCGCCTCCCTTCCGGCTCCGCGCCATCTCCCGCCGCTCTCACTCTCCCTCCTCTCCTACGGTTCGCCATGGCTCCTCGACACATTGCACGGGCTCTGGGCCTGCTGTCACTCGCGTCGAGTGTCCTATCATTATACGTCACACCCGAATCCGACTGTGCCGCGTTATGCCTGGGAAGCGCGAATGAGACGATAAGCTCGACGGAAGCCTCCATCTCCGCATCCGACATTGCTTGCAGGGATGCCGAGTACAGTTCCTCCTCATCAGGAATCAGGTATCGCAACTGCATTGACTGCTTGAGCAAGAGTCAAGAAACGGACGGCGAAGAGAGTGACCTGCAATGGATGCTGTGTAAGTGCAAAGCCTAATGCTCCCACACCTAGCCCATGCTAACAAGTCACGCAGACAACATGCGCTATGCGTTGAATACATGCCTCTTTGACGATTCAACAGCCGTCAATTCACCATGCATCATCAACTATGCGTGCGAGCCACTGGAAGACGCCCTGAGAACAGGCCTATCAACCCCCGGCGAGCAGAACTTCGACTATTGCACGGCGGACGAAGGCGCCTTCTCAAAGAAATGGCATTGGTCCTGTGTCTCATGTCTCAAGAGCAGTGGGACGCAGGTCTATCTATCCAACTGTAAGTATCCGTTCGCTCGAGCACCCTGGTGTAACTTATTCAGACTGACCCGTGGGACAGTCCTTCAAGCACTTAAAGCCGGCTGCGAGCAGAAGCCTGAGCTTGGAGATGTGCTCACTATGCGCGGAGAGATCTTCTCCAACACACTGCTGAACATTACCGTGACCAACACCACTCTACCCGGCGAAGGAGGAGCTGATTCGTCCACCATGACAACGGGTACCTTGGTTGGTATCGGCGTCGGAGGCGGTCTCGGCCTTCTGGGAGCCATCGCACTCACAGTCGCTTGCTGCCGTCGCCGAAAGAAGAGAAAGGCCGCGGAGAAGGACGACCTTGACCGAACTCCCCCACCGGACAGGAGCAATGCAAGCTCCTTCACGGCCATCAACCACAGCCCGTTCCTCCGAGACCACAAGAAATCACCTTCTATCTCTACGGAGTATGAGCTTCAGGAGAAGCAAAAACACATAAACAATGCCGACTACTACGATAGGATGGAAGAAGAAGCGCGAATCGGCCGCGCTAAAGCGAGCTACAACTTCGATCCCCGCCTTTCACAGCATGGTCCCGGCAGTGCCATGCCCACACACCCGGCGTATAACCCCCGTATGACCATGAGCCAGCCTGCAAAGTTGTCATCGCTTGCGCCTGCCCCACAACGGTCCAGAGCGAACACGCCCGACTCCTACGCTCTCCAAGCCTATCTTAATGCCGCTGAAGACGGAGTCCCAGGCGGCATGCCACGCTCCAGATCACAAACCCCATCTGGCCGTGGCTCACCACCCTGCCTCCACTGGACGCTCTTCCGCAGAGCCCCCGATCACCGGTACCAGCACCACCCGCACAGCCCAACAGCTCCCCGGCGGGATCCCCCCTCCGCCCCCGGGCCCCCCTCCTTCTCAAGCGCACGTCGCGGCGTCCAAGACTCGCTCCACGAGGGCGCCTTCTCTTGTACTCCCCTCTCTACCTCGCATCCGCATGCCCAAGAGGTACGCACCCCCGACTATTAACGTCGAGGGCGCCACTCCGGTCGACGGCGACCGCCATCCGGCCGATGATATGCAAATATCTGAGCCCATTGCCCTCCACGAGGCGCGTTTCACGGACAAACCTCTTGGCGGACCCGTCGTTCTCGCTGATTCGGCACCGAAGAGGAATATCGACCCCAGGGTGTATGAGAATGACCAGCCGATCAACAGCGGCAAAAGCACACTGTTCGGGTGGTCGGGGAATTAGGGGAGTTTCTACATAAACCGCTTCAATAGGGACCTTTTTTTGCAGGGTAGGCTTTTTTTATTGGAGTTTGGGGGTAGGACTATTGTGTATACAGCCAGCGTGGCGTACTCTTCAACGGACAGATTCACGATAAATACGTGGACTACATTTTTTGAAATGGTATTCATTAATTCATCTTGCTCTCTCTATCGTTGTGTATGTGATATGCTGTGCTTCACCCAACGCCTGCTGATGCTCTAATCCCCGAGACGCCTGCCAGGACCCCTGGTCCTCCATGCTTCGGGAAGGGGGCCGCCTCCGGTGGCGGCGCCAGTTGTGCGCCCGGTCGATGGCTCAGCGGCTCGCGGACGAATAGCAGTGCCAAAGTTGCGCTCCAGGATGCGAGGCGTCTCGACGAAGCGGGACAGGAACCCAGGTGTGGGCAGCAGGTTCCGCCCGCCGGTAAAGGTCGGGTAGATCCTCGTCAGGAAGTCGAACAGGTGGGCGGCGAAGAAGCCAATGAGCTGCATGAGGAATGTCATGGCGCCACCGGGAAACAGCAGAGACATGAGCATCATGGCAAAAGGCATGAGTTGGGCGGGAATAGTGATGAAAGTAGAATGCTGGCCTTCTGGCCGCGCTGGTCTTGGGTCACGGTGCGGCACATGGCGAGGATCAGGGCCGAGAGGAAGAAGCCACCGCCAAAAAGCCAGGAGGCTATGGTCTGCGAGGAGAGGATTAGCTCAACTCGGAAGCTTTTACTGGGTTTCAGATCTTGTATATCGATCGATCATGGGACAGGAAAGAAGGTGCCCGCAGGCGAAAAGATGTAGGGAGCGTATAACAACCCGAGCAACATTGAATCGCTGCCCGAGACATCGAATATGCTTCCCACCATGCCCACACCGCAGACCAAGCCCTAATGAGGTAGCGGACCGGCTGTGCCGTGGGGGTGATCTTCCTCGTTTTCAGGAACCGCTGTAGCTGTGGGGATACACCACGCGGGCAGATAGACGAGGTGATTTTGTCATGTTGGATAAATGAAGAACACAGGTCACAGGGAAGAACACAATGGGGCAAGATGAGCAGGCAAAGGCTTACCGTGATGACGCCGCCAACAAACAGGAGGTACCATATGACATCCTCCTTCTTGGAGAAACGAGGGTTGCCGACCTCAAGGGCGCTTGTGTAGTTGTACAGAAAGTACGTGTCAAACAGCAGGCTCAGCTGGGGACCAGTGACGAGGAAGTTCGACCAGATCCTCCAAGCTTGGGGAGGAAAAGTGAAAAGTTTTTCGGGCATGAACGTAAGCCAATGCGCAGGGAGAGCCCCCAGGTATACGGATATCGAAGTCACGAATGCTGCCGTTGCGACGGTTCTGTGCCTGTTAGCGACGGTCATGGAACGGGACGCGCAGAGAGGGATGCTTACCTGGCGATGGGCGGGGCCCGCCAGTAGCCATCCAACATGTCCGACGACATACTGGCAAGCGAGGTCAATCAAATACAATTGAAGACCTTTCAGAAAGTGAAACAGAGTCCGTGATGACTTGATTGTAGTTGTGAAGAGATAGAGCACAGCCAGCTGGGCGGATGGCAACAAGCTGGTGCGGACAGTCCAAGGGCCAAGGCTCAAGTTTTGGTGAAACTGTGTCCTTGGAAGGTGCGGATGGCAAAAGAAGGAAGAAGAACACGACGCGCCATAAAAAGGGCAGGAGCCTTTTTTTCTGCCGTGGAGAGCTCCCCACAGCTCCCGGTTTAGGTGTAGGCGGTGAATCACTATAACCGACATCGGATTGGTCGACATTCGCCTCTGCGCCAGTATTTTGTCGATAGACTGGGCAGGGCCCTTTGGATAAGGATTACTAGGAGATCTTGGAATATATCGTGTAGAAAAAACATTGCACAGACATCACTCCTTTGTCTGAACCACCGACGCTATGTCTTCCAAATCAGTGAGCCCGCGCTGGGCGGCCATGGCTCGTGACACCAACGAGACCAAGATTCAGATTGCCCTGAACCTCGATGGCGGGGACTTCCCACCCGACACCGACTCGCGGTTGACATCTGCTAAGGAGGAAGGCCATGCCTCTCAGGCGAGCAAGTCGCAGATTATCAGCGTCAACACGGGCATCGGCTTCCTCGACCACATGCTGCACGCCCTGGCCAAGCATGCTGGCTGGAGTCTGGCGCTGAATTGCAAGGGCGACCTTCACAGTACGTGTGCCCCTCCATTGCCCCTCCATCCGCCATTTGAACTCTTCAGATGCACAACGAACGGACCAAACAGTAGACTGACCATAGCGATCAATAGTTGACGACCACCACACTGCGGAAGACGTTTGCATCACCCTCGGTTACGCTTTTGCCCAGGCCCTCAACAGCATGGCCGGTCTGGCGCGCTTCGGCTATGCCTACGCCCCTCTGGACGAGGCCCTCTCCCGTGCCGTCATCGACCTCTCCAACCGCCCCTACAGCGTCATCGACCTCGGCCTCAAGCGTGAGAAGATTGGCGACCTTAGCTGCGAGATGATCCCCCACTGCCTGCAGAGCTTCGCTCAGGGTGCCCGCGTCACCCTACACGTCGACTGCCTGCGCGGCGAGAACGACCACCACAGGGCCGAGAGCGCGTTCAAGGCGCTAGCGATTGCGGTGCGCCAGGCCACTACCAAGGTCGCCGGCAGGGAGGGCGAGATTCCTAGCACCAAGGGCACCCTGAGTGCATGAGCAATATACCATCTTCGAATCGGGACGAAGGCATGCTCTAGCCGGATCTCCACTCCTGAACACGGTGATTCACGCTGTGGCCCCGATTGATGTCCGTGGTGTCTCTCATTAATCTTGATCATCCATCTGACGAGTAGTAAAGCCTGCCCGACTCGGGTCCTGAACGCCATGCTGTCCTTAAACATACAGTATCCATATCCCATATCCAGTACACTCAATGATGTATGTAGCAGGTAGTCCCCAAAACAAAATCCAACCCAATAACCCAGTCATTCAAGGCTTGACATTCTCCTTGTTGAGAATGTTGTTTACTGCCCGCCGTTTTTCAGCTTTCCGCTGCTCGATTCGAGCGATGGCGGCTGCCCGCCTTTCAGGCGGAATAGCGCTCCTTGACATGTTGGCTCCTAGCATCGTGCTGGCCTCGGCATCTGGCACGCCGAGACGGGCGAACCGGTTTTGCAGTAGATCGATATCGCCGTGGTCTCTATCCAAGAATCGATGTCGTGGAGCAGGCGTTGCGCCCGAGGGAATGGCGCTCGAGATCTGAATCTGCTGGTTAATGTCGGTGCCAAGGCGCTCTCTGTTACGAGGGGATCGAGGGATAAATGGTTTCCAGCGTGGCCTTTCGAGTTCGACTCTGTCTTCCAGAATGTTGAAAGTAGGCTTCGACGGCTCTTCTCCTGTTGCCTTGGACACTCCATCGTCTTGTTCCTTGAGTCGGCCTCCTAGGCCATGCAATGGCCTTTCGTTCAGCTTTTTGCTCAGGGACTGTACCAAATCAAAGCTTCCTTTCCTTGCCTCAACTACAACATCTTCTTTGTCGACTTGTGTGAGGGCAGGTTTCGTTTGTGACGGACGGACGGGATCACTCGCCACACGCGTGGCGGGCTTCACCTCGGCAGTTGTGAGCGATGCCCCGTGCTTCAGCATCCTAATCTCCCTCTTCAGATCAGAGATCTTGTCCGTTGCAGTCTGTAGAACCCGTTTCGTCTCCTCCTGGCGCGCTGTGGTCTCGATTCGGAAGGATTCGTACTCCTCTTTTAAGCGACGCATCTCTTCATCCTTGCGGCGGATTTCCTCCCGCGCCTGTGTCAGTTCAGCATCAGCTTCATGAGATGAGCTGGTCGCTACCCGTGCATCGTTTTTCGTTGAGGCAGAGGCGTGTTGCTCGGCCGCACGGAGCTCAGCCTTGAGTTGCTTGACCTGCGCGCGAAGGTCGCCGTTCTCTTTGACCTGCGTCCGGGCCCTCCTCAACTCGCGCTGCGTTTCCAAGAGCGTCTTCTGTGTTCGTGGTGACGCTGCTTGCCTGCGGCGTCTGCTGTGTGTGTCCGCGTCGTCGTCTTCCGGCTTATCAGTCATCAAGGATTCAACCTGCTTCAGCTGATCCCTGTACTGAACAGCAAGGGCCGTCTGTCGTGCCAGGTCCTTCATCAGCTGAGGGATCTCGCCTTCATCGCCGTCGAGTCGTCGCGTGGCCATTTGCGCGGCCATTTCCGTGATCTTTTCCTCCATCTTCACAATCTTCTCCTGCTCTTCTTTGAGCTTCTCGTTGAGATCAACGGCCTCTGCGTCCTTCATCTTGGCGTAGGATTTTGCGAGTTGCTTATACTTCAGCAGTTTCTCCATCTCGGCCCGCGCGTCGTGGTGGTACTGTTCGAATTCCGACTTCCAGTACTTGCCTGACCTCGAAAAGGGCTCATTGAGGTCGACTGTGATGTCGTGCATGCAGTTATCGTCGTCGTCAGCCTCCTCCCACTCCTCCTCTGAGCTGTGGCCGTTGGCATTCCTCCTAGCTGGCGAGGAACCGGAGGCGGAGTTCGAGCGGCGTGACTTCTCCATCGTCTCCGTTAACCGGGTGCGCTTTGATGCCGAGCCCTCGTCTTGCGGGGTGAATGAGCTAGGGAATTTCCCATGGTTGTTGTCGCGCGATCGGCTCTTTCCACGTGTCGGGTCAACACGGTCTACAGTGTTGTGGTCAAATGACACGCGCTTGCGACGAGACGTGCCGGTGCCAGGTGTCAATAGGATTCCTTGCGGCTTCAAAGGGGTCCTTGAATCTTCGTCGTCCATTCTCGATTCGGTCGTCTGCTTGGCTAGTTGTGCAAAGTTGGGCGCGTTGTCCTCGACGCGCGCTGGTGTTCCGAAGATGGCGCTCTTCAGGGCTCGAGCAGCGAAGACTGGTGCTGGCGTGTCTGGCTGTTCGGCAAAAGTCGTGTCATCTGCGAAGAAGGATTTTTAGCTCACGAATGCAGATTCGTTGCGACTTGGAAGTTCATCGCACCCGTCGCGACAGCTCTGGTGTCTCCAGACGCGCCCTCCAGGCCTTTCCTGAGCACCCAGCCGAGCATCGTAAGGCGGTGGTATCAACAGGCCGAATGACCATGCGGTGTACAATCGAAAGCAAGTATCTGACGCGCTTTTCAAGATGGGTTGTCGCAAATGTCGTCGGGGTCGTGGGGTGTTTGTAATGGGGAGAATCTGGGGTTCGGTCTCATCGAGGCCTGGTGTATTGTTTACTTGGTTACCCCAAACGGCTAGAGGAGGAGTCGCGAAAGGCCTCCAGCGTCTAGAGGCTGTAGTCCTTTTGATTGGCAGGCCTGCGTGTCGAATTGCGGGCCGCCGGGCAGAACCACGTCACACAGGGAAGGCCGCTGCCCTGCAACGACCCCGCTATTATCAGCTGGGCTGGTAGCGCTTTGCAGCCTAAGGGTCCCTTGTGCAGGGTGCTGATCTCAAGGCCAGTGGAAGTCTCGACATGTGGGTGACGCTTTGCTCATTCAACACCACTTTTTACCTATTATCAGTCACCAGTACACTTACGAAAATGAGCTTCCCACAGTAAGGACTCACAGCTTATGCTGTGAGACCCCTTTCGCTCCCTTCATCGTCTCATAATGGCGTGGAAATCATCTGGGGCGTGGAACAAGCCCATCATCAATCTGCCCAAGCCCGCCAAAGATGACTCGAGCTTCCCTGGCCTCAAGGTCACGAGCCCAGAAGCCGCCGGCACCCCGAAAATCGAGTATGAGGAGTTGCAAGAGAACGAGCTCATGGTATTGGAGGCCATTTACGGTGACGACTTCGTGAAGCACACAGATACGCAGAGCGCTTGGAAGGTACCTACTTGATAAACGACAGCACCGGCTTGACGCTCTTGACCTCAACGAGTCATCGCTGACTATGGACAGAAATCTGAGCCTTCGTTTGATATCCGGATCCGGGCTTCTTCGGACGATGAATTTGTCGTTACGTTGGGCGTGGTGCTCACCGCCACTTATCCCAAAACCCCGCCTGTCCTGACGCTCAAAGATGCTGATGACATTCGCGATGTCACTCAGTTCAAAATCCAGAAGTATCTCGAAACCAAACCCAAGGTCTTTGCTCAAGAACAACAGGAGATGATAGACCGTATAGTGGAGGGAGTTCGCGAGATACTCGAGGATGCCTCTCAGGCCAAGGCCAAGGGGCATAAGTTGCCTTCGTTGGAGCAGGAGCGTGCAGCCCATGAGGCAGCACTCGCCGCACAGGCGCAGAAGCAACAGCAAGCTGAGGAGCGCAAACGGGCGGAGGAGAGCAAAGAGGAAGAGAGGGTCCTCGGTGGTCTGCTCCAGGAGGAACTGAAGCGTCAAAAAGACAAGGCCAAAGAATCCAGGAGGAAGAGCAAGCCCAACGGGTTCGGGTCAGTCCCGCCCATGGGCATCGGCCATGACCTTGAGGACGGCCAGATTATCTTTGATCAACCCTGTCGTGCCACTGATAAGACGGGCAATGAAATCTTCTTCCAGGCCGTCTCGGACAAGACTGAGCACGCCAAGGGGCCCATCTCGACAGTCTTCGATGTGCGGCCCGTGTTACCCAATGGTCAAGAGCGTCCGTTGCTGGCTCTCAAGGAGACGCGGCTGCGGACAGCCGGCAAGGACACGTCTGTTTTCAAGAAGCAGATCCAATCCCTAGAGTCACTGCTTGAGTCCCTGAAAGCTGTCCGCCACAAGAATTTGCTGGATGTGCTTGATTTCAGGGTGGATCGGGAACAGGAAAATGGAGATGGAAAGGCGCCAAGCCTTTGGACATTTACAATCCTGACCCCTTTGGCAGAAAAGGGGTCTCTCGAGGAGCTTCTCGACCTTGCCGGCCATCTTGAGGTTGGCAAGGTTCGCGCATGGACCAGAGACCTTTTGGATGCCCTCAACTTCTTGCACAACAAATCTGTGGTGCACCAAGACATACACACGGGCAACATTCTTCTCTTCCGTGAGCCTACGGGTGAAGTTGTCCCCAAATTGGCTGATGCCGGATACCAGCGAGAGCTGCACGGCATGTCGGCCAAAGCGCGAGCTCTACCTGGGCTTGCCTCGGCCCGATCCGCATATTGGTTGCCGCCTGAGATCGCTGCCGTCTCACGGCCAAACTACACTGCCAAGACTGATGTCTGGGACTTTGGTGTTGTCTTTCTGCAGATGATCTTCGGTTTGGATGTGCCAAACAAGTATCATGCACCTGCGGCACTGCTCGAGGCACTTTCCCTTTCCAACCCCCTTCAAGAACTCACGACGAGATTCTTCAAGCAAGACGTCAAAAAACGCCCGCGGCCCTTTGAACTGAGCTCGAGCGAGTTCCTGGCAACGGATGCACCAGTTTTGGTCCAAGAAAGAATATCGATTTCGAACAGTTACCATTCGAATGATTCCTCACAGATGCTCATGCCGAGACTGAGGCGCGAGTCCACAAATAGAACCATGAACTCGTCGTCCAGGTATAGGGAAGACTTTGTCGAGGAAGGCCGCCTGGGTAAGGGGGGATTTGGTGAAGTTGTGAAGGCCCGGAAGAAACTTGACGGCCAGATCTACGCCATCAAGAAAATCAGTCAGCGATCACAGTCGAGCCTGACTGAGATTCTCAAAGAGGTTCGTCTGCTGTCACAATTGAGCCATCCTGCTGTCGTGCGATACTACAATACTTGGGTCGAGGAGATCCCTGACGTGTCAGAGTCGGAAGGCGACACATCAACGGATATGGGCACAGATGCCTCCATGGAGACGCTGTCTCAGCAGCCTGAAATTATGTTCGCCACAAGCACAGGGGGTCTTGATTTCATGTCGTCGAGCGGATACCCACAGGTTGAATTTGGGTACGAGGATTCAGACGGCCTTGAGGATGACGATGATGATGAAGATGACGACGAAAACGATGATGACGATGAAACCTCTTCGGACATGGAAGACGAACTTGCTCCAGCCTCGCCGATAATTGGCAGAGAGCTGGGTGATGGTAAGAGGGCTCGTGTTCAGCGCGCTTATCGGACGGTGCTGTACATCTCCATGGAGTATTGTGAGAAACGGGTGAGTAGTGGGACTGGCACCGAGTTTCCCCTCGAGCCTGGGCTGAGTTTGCTAATCTGATATACCTGTAGACGCTTCGCGACTTGATTGCCAGGAAACTTTATCAAAACAATTCTGAGCTGTGGCGACTGTTCCGTCAGATATTGGAAGGATTGGCGCACATCCACGGTCTTAGCATTGTGCATCGCGACCTTAAGCCTGAGAATATCTTCATTGCCAGAAGCTCCGACGGGGTTGACAATGTAAAGATCGGAGACTTTGGACTCGCAACGAGTGGTCAATTTGCCGTTGATAGGGGCATTGCAAATGGCATGGAAGCAGACGATGTCACCAGAAGTATCGGCACTGCTTCGTATGCAGCCCCCGAGGTGCGTTCCGCCGCCAACGGGACATACAGCTCTAAAGTCGATGTAAGTACCACAGCGCTGAGTGACGAAGAAACTGTGCTAAAGTGTGGCAGATGTACTCATTGGGTGTCATTTTCTTCGAGATGTGCTATCCCCCGATGCTCGGCATGCAGAGAGCTGAAGTGCTCGGCCAACTCCGACGCTCGCCATCCATACTTCCCTCTGACTTCAAGCCCGCTGAGCGCACTCAAACCGAGATTATACTGTCTCTACTGACGCATAATCCAAAGGACCGGCCATCGAGCTTCGAGCTTCTCCAAAGCGGTAAGCTACCTGTACAGATGGAGAGCGAGACCATCAGGCGCACTTTGGCTGGATTGGCGGACCCGAGTTCTCCGTACTACAAGAAGATGCTCTCAACCTTGTTCTCACGGCCAGTTGAACAAGCCAAAGACTACGCATGGGACATGCACACGAGCCTGCCGAGCCAAGCCGATCTCCTCAACCAAAACATCGTCAAGAAGGCACTTATATCTATCTTCAGACGACACGGTGCTCTCGAGATGCCGAGGAGCTGCCTGTATCCTCGATCATCACATTATGCGGACAATGTCGTAAGGCTTCTCGACTCTAGCGGCACTGTCTTGCAGCTGCCATACGACTTGACCATGGGCCATGCCCGAGCGTTGGCAAAACAGTCAGGATCACCGGCGATACAGCGAACGTTTACCTTTGGCAATATTTTCCGCGACCGACAAGATACAGGACAACCCCAGATGCTTGGAGAGGTCGACTTTGACATTGTGACGACCGACACATTAGACCTAGCGCTAAAGGAGGCCGAGGTTCTGAAAGTACTGGATGAGATTGTGTCTACTTTCCCCTCGTTATCATCGACACAGATGTGTTTCCACATCGGACACTCTGAGCTCCTGCAGCTCATTTTTGAGTACTGCAGAGTAGAGCCCAGTTCTCGTCGTGCTGCGGCCGATGTCCTCAGCAAGTTGAATATCCATGGATTCACCTGGCAGAAGATTAGAACGGAACTCCGGTCTCCTTTGGTGGGCGTCTCGTCAACCAGCGTCGACGAGTTGCAACGGTTTGACTTCCGAGGTAGGTAGTCGGATAGTCGGACTCAGGATCGACATGATGAGAGGCTCGAGCTGATAGGCTGTAGACACACCCAGCAAGGCGTTTTCCAAGCTCAAGACGCTTTTCGAAGGCTCTGATACCTATCAACAGGCCTCATCTACTTTGGCCCACTTGAAGGAGGTTTCCGAGTACGCGAAGCGACTCGGCGTGGTGAGTAAGATCTATGTCAACCCTTTGAACAGTCTAAAGGAGAGCTTCTATACCGGCGGTATTCTCTTTTCTTGTCTCTACGACAAGAAGATGAAGGACGTCTTTGCTGCCGGAGGTAGGTATGACAGCCTCATCAAGGAGCATCGGCCCAAGGTCGGTGGACAATATGAGGAGCGGCATGCTGTCGGTTTCAACTTGGCCTGGGAGAAACTGGCCAGAGTGCCCAAGACAGGAGGCAAAGCCTTCTTGAAGAAGACCGAAGAGGAGAGCCAGAGCATCTTCACAGCAAGACGAGTAAGCATCAGCCAAGTCCCCACACCCACAGGTCGACCTGCTTATACAAGTCCAAAGTGCGACGTGCTCATCGCCAGCTTCGATGCCGCCGTTCTCCGAACTACGGGTGTGGAGATTCTACAGATTCTCTGGGCGCACAACGTCAGTGCCGAACTTGCAAAGGACTCACGATCGCCCGAAGACCTGCTCTCTAAGTACCGCGACGACAGCTACTCCTGGGTTGTCATCATCAAGCAGGATGCTATGCTCAAGGTCAAGAGTCTAGGAAAGAAGGATGTGCCCGATGTCGACATTGCCATGGCGCAACTGCTATCGTGGCTACGTGCTGAGATACGTGAACGGGATTCGAAGGCTGTCGTCAAGCTCCGAGGCAATCAACAGGCCGAAGCGGCAGCAGCTGCTGAGAACCATGTCGAGCAGGACGTGCGAGTCTTGGTGGCACAGACGAAGAGTAAGAAGTTCAACCGCCGAACTGTAGTTGAGCAGGCTCAGGTCAGCGCGTCCAGTTTGGTGCAATCCTTCCTAGACGGCCCGATCCTCGCCGTTGAGACAGCTGACCAAGTCATGGATTTGATACGGGCGACCAGCCTGTCCGATGGCGAAAGTTGGCGGAAGGTAGAGCACACGGTCACCACAGCCGAGAAGAAGTACGTCAGGGAGATCCACGACATGCTGAGCAACTGGCAGTGGGCATGGGAGAAGAAGAGCGGCAGCCGTCATGCGTTCCTCTACAACTTCAGGACGGGCAACTGCATTTACTACGATCTCGGAGCTTGAGCCTGTCCACCTTAGCATTGCTGGAAAGTCTGGAAAGAGCCTGTGTTGGCCTAGATAGGAAGCAAAATGAACATGTCATGATCTTGAATGGGTGCAGTTGCATTACTGGCTACTGCATGCAACCTGTCATGTCAACCGTATGTGGGCAGAGTTTGCATCGCAGTAAGCAACGGTAGTACTTGAATTACACGGCCGAATGGCGCGACGTCGGTACGTACTACCTTGATGACCTCCGTTTTTTGCGAAGGGCGGCCTCTCCGACAGGCCGACTCTCAGAGGACCGGACCGGGTCCCAAGGCCGGCCAGTACTGGATACAAGGCGGAGCTGGTGCGCCTGGCATCTCACAGCGGAAGCGAAGCGCTGGGACAAGGTACCCCGGTACCTGCCCGCCGAGTCCCCGTGCGAGACAAGTCATCAGAGCGAGCCCAGCCTGGCACGCGCCTGGGGTGGACGAGAGCCGGTGGGGCCGCAAGGCAGGCGCCCCCTGGTTGGTTCCCCTCGTCTCCTTGGCTGCCCACCAGAAGGGTCCCGACCCAGAGGCCCTCCCCATCCGTCACTTTCCTTTGAGGCGAATCCGAGACAGACCCAACCACGAGCTGATGCCTCCTGACTCTTCCGCACGAAGTCGCATCTAGTGCCTACCGGCATCTCCAAGATTTCCAGACCGCCTTGAATCGATCAAAACTTGACTCCTTTCATACCTTCTCCACGCTCGTCTCTTTCCTCTCTCTTCAACCCCTGACAACCCCTCTCGGCAACTTTCACCCCGCCTGCGACTCACGAACCTACACCACGACACAGACAACAAGCGATTCTGCGACGAACCATCCGCTGGATATCTTCGTCTGACTGGTGATCAACGAAGCCATCCGTCCCCCCGTCAGCCCTTAGGCGAACATCTTGGAAGCGTTCGGAAAAGCGATTGCAAAGTGCAGACAGTCACACCCTTCTCCCTGCCTCGAGCCCCGGTCGTCATCCAATCCCGGATCCGGCGCTTCTACTTTTCGGGGACCTTCTTCTACCTACGGCTTGCACAAAATGGCGCAGAAGCGTCTCATGAGTGAGCTGCAGACGCTGCAGAAGGAGAAATGGGTGTATATCGACGTGAGTTTCACGAAGCAACTTGGTCGGTTCTTCAATATTGACGGTGGTTCCAACAGGTCGATGAGCAGAACGTTCTGAAGTGGAAGATCGGTCTCATGGTCGTGAACCCGGACAGTGTCTTCAATGGCGCATACCTCAAGGTGAGCAGGTTCCGCCGTTTCTCTTGGCCACGATACAATGAACTGACCCCTGTTTCCAGGCCGCCATGACCTTCACCTCCGAATACCCCTACCAGCCCCCGACCTTCCAGTTTCAGACCAAGAACATCGTCCACCCGAACGTCTACTTCGACGGCAAGCTGTGTATTTCCATCCTCCACAAGCCAGGGGAGGATGAACAGTCAGGCGAACAAGCTTGCGAGCGTTGGTCACCTCTGCAAGGTGTCGAGTCCGTCTTGCGATCTGTCCTGCTGCTCCTCGATGACCCGGAGATCAACTCGCCCGCGAACGTTGATGCTGGAGTCCTGTACCGCGACAATCGCGAAGAATACAACAAGAGGGCTTCCGAGACGGTAGAGACGTCCAGGAAAGACATACCTGAGGGCGTCAAGTTCCCTACAACCGCCGACCTGGAGCCTGTGCCGCAAAAGCCCGTGGACGACGATGCATTCTGGAATGAGACAGATGACGAGGGCGACTTTGACCTGGGTGGCAGCGACAGTGACTTTGAGATGGACGAATACAACGAGGACGAAGAAGATGACGACGCCGACGATAGTAGCAACACGGCTGCCGGGAAGAAGGATAACACTAAGGCCTGAAGCTAAGCCGTGTCATTTAGACCGCGCCCGAGGTGTTAGATGTAGTGAGCGAGGCGTTGCTCACTTGACGTTTGGATTTGCTTTTTTTTTTTGGACTTCCAGCGAAGGACTTATGCATAGCGACGGTCCATGGCGTTGAGAGGTAGTTTTTTGAGGCCGGTGGCTTGTGTCAGGACAGGGGCATCACCGACAGGATCTCATTATTGGATTCTGGTGAGCGGCCGGGGATGTTGGTGGCCCAGGCATCGTCGTGAATAGAGTACCGCAAACGGGTGCTTGTTAGAGCAGCCAATATATTCCTTCCAGCGTACTACTCAAGCAGTAGACCATCTTGGCAGAGTGATCGTGCAAGATGAATGCAGCGTCGAGGCAGAAATGGCACAATGAGATATGCTTCAGCCCTGTGTGTAGGGGCCTGACATGCACATACCCATGCGATGTGACAGAAATGAATGTTCGGCAACCCAGGCGCTACGCTGATCAATGATGGCTGTGCCAGAATCATCGGCGGGCCCCTACGTAATCGTTGGAGGCGTGGTACAGCACACGGCCAGGCTGTCAAGGTGTCCCGGCGCTAGTGCATGTTAGCCATGCAGCTCTCGCCTCAACAGCATCAACCAAGCCACAGCATTCAGCACTCAGAGCTTCACCTTCGTCTCCATCTGCCTTTCCCTCCGACGACCCTCCGTTCGTCTCTTGCTCCGGCTGGCCCACGTCTATTTTTTGCACCTGGTTTCTCTCGAGCCGACTCCTCTTGCATTCGCACCTCCCGATCGCTCGAATACCTTGACGGTGCTGACCGTCACTTGGCGTGGAGCCCCAGCCAACTGCCGCCTGTTCTTGTCTCGACGATGCGTAGTACGACACACCTTGCCACCCCATAGGAAGCCCACTTGAGGGCACCATTACGACCGGGAATACAGACGGAGGCGTGAAAATAAGTTCGCCGGAGCAATGGCGCCAGAACCTTCCGACGAGGATGTCTCCAACCTCTGCGCCATCGCCGATATTAGCGAAGCGCAATATGGCAAGGTCGTGTTAAATGCGCTGCGGGTGCGTCTCAAACCTTGGCTTCGTCCGAAGAGTCTGCCATTTCCTGACGCTTCGCACAGAATAGCAGCAACAACCAGAATCAGGTCATGATGGAGATCTTTGACGACTTGGAGGCCGTACGTAGACCGCCCTCATACTTTTGTTTGTCCGTTTCGGGCGCTAAAGAGGTGATGCATAGTTTGTCAGGAAAAATACGTGGGATGAAATCTGCATATGGCGCGAGTCGCGAGGGCGAGACCAATAAAGCTGGTATTGGTTAGTACAACCATGTCGCTGATCAGTTGGACGAGGCACTGACGATGTGGTAGCTTTCAATGTCGACGCACCCGATAATGCTGTCATCCAGGGCGTCACGCCGCCCCCCGAATCGAGCTACTGGCCCGGCAGCGGAGCTCCCTCGCGACCTCCTTCGAGAACGAACAACAAGTCGCCGCTTGGTAGGATGATTGATTGGACTGTCGGGGATCCAACCGGTACTGGACCTCGTTCGTCGCGAGGACGCGTTGGGCTGACGAGTTGCAGGACCAAATAGCTCCGCTCAGGAGGACGAAGACCTACAACGAGCCCTCGCCGAGTCGGCGAGAGAGTCGGGTGTCGCACCGCAAGAAAACGGAATCATGGACGGCATCACCCCGACATCTACAGCACACTTCGGCCCAGCGAACCGCAACGACTATGATCCGAGCAACTGGGCCATGGTTCCTGCAGGTCCAGCTACGCGCACCCGATCAGCGCTAGATCCTGTACCATCAAAGAGGCAAAGAGCATCAGACGCTCCTGCGTTCTTAGTGCAACAACCAAACGCGCGGAACGCGGGTCACCGTTTGGGTGCGATCTTATCCATCTTTCACGAGATCCCGCTCTCTCGAAATGTCCTGTTGCAGACTGGGCGCCCGGCGGAGAACTACGGTCACAACAAGGAGTGGTGGAAAGGCCAGGCCATCTACCCCGCTCACCTGGCGGCAGCAATGAATCAGGGCCAACCGGTGCCCGACGACGCCAAGCCAGACTTCAACGAGGAAATTCACCGTCTAATGGCTTTTCTCGACGCGACGGATCGCAGTTACGGGTCGGTCGAAGTCATGGCTGACCTTCTCGATGGAACCCATGCCGGGCGCGAGAGGCAATTCTTCGACGTTCTCAACGAAAGCAACGACCCGGATGTCCTAAAGCCTCTCATGCATGATGCACTAAGCATGCTCGTCAATACTTATGAGGTTGTCGAGAGCGTCGACAGATTCTCGTTTCTTGACTTTGAGCTTAGTGCAGATCAGTGGTCGCAAGTCGAGAGCTTCTATGATGTGTGGGATTGCTTGGCTTGGGATGAGTCCATGACATGGCAAGAGATTAAAGACGACACAAAGATGACCGTCTTCAGAGAAATGGGCGAGATCATGACGGTTTTGCTAGATGGGGACTGCCCTGATACCATTGACATACCCGAAGTCTGGTACCCCGAGCGATACTTAGAGGCAAGGAAGGAGGATGCACGGGCGATTCAGGAGCAGCTAGCCTGGGCACTCGCAAGGCTTTACGATGCTACGGCGGTGGAGCACGAGTACAAGAACTGGGACGACCCGGCGACGCACAAACAGCACGACAGGCGCGAACTCCTGGTGCAGGCTGTTGAACAATACGAAAGCTTCGTCAAGTACCTCACCGGTCTGGTGGAGTTTGAGGATTTCGCACCACCAAACGAGGAGGTCAGCAAATTGCTTCAGCTTGACACGCTGCCACCGCTTGCAACAGAGAAGGAGAAGGACATGTTGGCCCAATGCGAGCAGGTGCTCATACGCTGTAAACACAAGCTCAGGGAGCTAGATGCCAACATGAACAGTATGTGCACACTGAAACATCATTCGTTCACTTACTTGCTGACATGATCACAGAACTGAATGCCGACCGCGATTACCTCAAACAATATCGACGGTATCTGAATACACTCCTCACAGACCCTGAGCCGGAGGACGGCGGAGAGCCCATTTCGTTTCACGGCAAGAAGTATCTTCTTCGGGGTGTGGCTACTGGGCGAGACATTATGTACATTTGTCGCAGAACTGAGCCTCAGTTGATCGACCTTGAAGAGACTACACAGCCTCTGGATCAGTGGTGGCGGCTCGCATACGTGGCGGGTGATGAACAACCAGTGCAAGCGGAGGTAAGCAGTATATTGCCTCGATGTCAGTATCAAGCGCTGACAAGTTCACAGAAGGTTGAGTTTAGTGTCGTGAAGGAAAAGATGCTGAAGGAGTCCAAAAACCCACTGCTGGTCTATGCAACAGAAGATGCGCTAAACACGCCACGAGTTTCCCTTTCGGACGAACTTCAGCGGTTTGTGCTGGCGGAAAACAAGATTTTCCGTCAGGAACTGAGCCACGAAGCAGACGAAGACAACGATGAGGACGTGCCGTTGATCAACCCGAACATCTCGCCTGTCTCGCCGTCCAAACGCAAGTACCGCGCAAACAGCGTCGACTCCATGGACACCAACCGGGCATCATTGGGCAACAGCGAAACGAACTCTAGAGCGGGGGACTTTGACGACATGGATGCTTTCGGTATGATCAGCGGCGGCATGGTCCACCACGCAGCGAACACGACAAGTTCAGCAGTACAGTCAGGAGGATATTCAGATCTGGAAGGGCTTAGCAACCAGAGCCAAGACCAACTATCGGCGACGCTTTCTCGCGAGTCAACGCATTCAGCAGCCAGCCAAAACACAGCGCCTGCACTATTCAGCCGCTCATCCACCGGCCAAACCTTACAGGAGACAGTAGACGCAGGATCCATCGACCAGCCGATTGAACTCGAGGCGACGAACAACGAGATCAAGCTGCCCGAGATGCAGGAGCGCGGGGGCAGTGGATCTCTCTTTGGCAGTAGACATGCATCAGCGAGTTCAGCAACTGGCCGCCGTGACGCCGCGGCAGAGGCCATGGACGTGGATGCGTCGTTCTCTAGGCAGCTTGACTAGGTATTCAGTGAAAGGAGGTCTGTCAAGGGGAGAGATCTGTCAAGAAGCAGGCTCAGCCTGCGGAAGAAGATGAATGGATGGCTTGACCATCTTGTCGATGGCTACAGAAAGGGGTAGACTTGAAGCGGGGAGTTAGTTGCCGGGGTGGTTTAGGACAAAGCATGGCAAAGCGAAGGGGCGCCTTTGTGTATCAGGTTCCAGTAGTCAGCCAGTCAGGAGAGAGCATGTTCCTCAGGAACACACCAACATGAAGCTATGAGAATTATTCGAATTGAATACGATGAAAAGGGGGGTTGAACTCTCGTGATGTTGCCAGATGGAGATGGCAGTACGTCGAAGGTTCTAGAAGGTTCCATGTCCGCAAGCGGTGGGCGGTGATGTCACATTTAGGCCCCGGCCGTGAGACCTTGACCTCACAGCTCGTGCGAGCGGGTTGTAGGAGCATTGACAGGAACATGTTGGAAACTTGAAATGACTTCTTCAACATCACGCGACTTCTTCTTTCTACACTATATCTTTTGTTCGCCGATTTTTGCAATCCTGAACTCGCCGTAGCTTGTTAGAACAATTGACATCGGAATACACACAATCAAGACGACCAAGTCTACCTTGCACCACCATCACAGCAAGCAAGTAACTGGACGCAGACGCTAAGCCCCACCAATTGGGCAGCTGCTCTACAACCCAAAGCGACGAGGCACACATTCGCCTTACTTTTGACAACCGGACACACCATAATTTTCATACTTCAGCCTGGTGGTCACCTTGACTGTCTCCTCCTGTATCTTCTCCTTCCATCTTTGCTGTTGCTCGGCAGCACAGTAGAAGCAGGATCAACTCGGCACACCGACAAGGCCTGCCCCGCATCAATACCACCATCCATCCACCATTGCCAGTAAGCCTTTAGTGGCACACACCGACGCGATGGTAAAAGAGACGAAACTCTACGATCAGCTGGGCGTCAAGCCCGAGGCTACACAGGAAGAAATCAAAAAGGGCTACCGGTAGGTTCTTCCTCTCTCGTGAAACATCTGATCTCCATCATTTCCAAGGTACACAAGCTAACAACCCCGCTACAGCAAGGCAGCTCTCAAGTGGCACCCCGACAAGAACAAAGACAACCCCAACGCAAGCGAAAAGTTCAAGGAGTGCTCCCAGGCCTACGAGATCCTCTCCGACCCCGAGAAGCGCAAAACCTATGACCAATACGGGCTCGAGTTCCTCCTCCACGGCGCCCCGCCCCCGGACGCCAGCGGCGGGGCCGGCAACGCCAACCCCTTTGCCGCTGGCGGCATGCCTGGCGGTTTCAACTTTGGCAACACCGGCAGCGGTGGCAACACACGCTCGTTCCGCTTCAGCACCGGTGGCGGTGGCGGCGGCGCGCCGGGCTTCAACTTTAGCAGCGCAGATGATATTTTTGCCGAGTTTATGCGGCAGAGCGGCGGCGGCGGCGGCGTAGGCGGTGGAGACGACATTTTCTCCACGTTTGGCGCGGCACGCGGCGGCCGATCGCGGGTGCGGCACTCGTCCAGCGGCTTTGATGACTTCTCGCCGCCCAAGAGGCGGGAGGCCACGCCCGAGGTGACGACGGTTGAGAGGGCGCTGCCGCTGACCTTGGAGGAGCTCTTCAGGGGTGTAACGAAGAAGATGAAGATCAAGCGCAAGCTGTTTGACGAGAGCGGGAAGAGGACGACGACGGACACGGTGCTCGAGGTGCCGATCAAGGCCGGTCTGAAGAAGGGTAGCAAGATCAAGTTCAAGGGGGTCGGTGATCAGGAGGAAGGAGGCCAGCAAGATCTGCACTTCATCTTGGAAGAGGTACGTATTATCAACCCCCCTTGTGAAAACATTCGCATAGATGCAGAAGCTAACGGTGACTCGCAGAAACAACACCCTCTGTTCGTCCGCGAGGGCGATGACCTCGTCCACACGGTTGATCTAGACCTCAAGGAGGCTCTAACGGGATGGAAGCGAACCGTTGCCACGATCGATGGCAAGCAGATCAACCTCGACAAGGCCGGCCCGACGCAGCCTGGCAGCTCAGAGCGGTACCCCGGACTGGGCATGCCCGTGTCGAAAAAGCCGGGCACGCGGGGCGACTTTGTCATAAAGTACAACGTCAAGTTCCCGTCGAGTCTTACAGCGGCGCAGAAGCAGAAGCTTAGGGAAGTTTTATAAGCGAGAGAGTGAGCGGCTTAGGGGCTGCGGACTATGGACTGGCTTTTTTTTCATGAATCCCTTTTTTTATTACGAATTGGTGTTTTGGGCGTATCAAGGGGTTTCAGTGGCTGAGGAGCTTAGGAGATGAGCCCCAGACGTTTTTGTTAATAATGAACACGATGTTTACACTTTACAAGAGATACCAAGACCGAGATTGCCGTTCAACAAAATCATGATTTTGCCTCAGATCAAGCTCATACTGGATAAATATGACGTGAAATCTCATTGGAGATGTGCCGTATCAATGTCAACGCGGCTACGGCAAGGACCCGCGAGTCCCCGCACCCGAGATGAGTGACAAACAAATACGGGATGACCTGTCCAGTGCGGCCTTTTACATGAGTGTGCGTAGCTGCGGGCGGCTGCGTGCAAGGGGGCCAAGGGATACAAGGAAGTGGGACGACATGGAGGGCGAGGCAAGACGCAAAACATCAGACGTTGCGCCGCAGCGCAGGAAATCTCGGCGGGGACTGGTCTTGTTCGGGTGCGGGGCGTTGAGGCCGCGGGCGGGCGGATTCTGCTGCAGCGCAATACAGGTACGATGTACGGTGCCGGAAGCACTCGTCTGCATTAGGTTTCGAGGTGTGAAGAGGGCCGAATGCTGCATGCGCTTCCATGAACATCCCGAGACTCGGCATCGACTTCCAGGGTCTGTCTGTCGACAGGCAGCACAAGGGTACAATTTGGCCCCCAGTCACGACACGGGCCACAACGACGACAACGAGGCTGCACATGGATGCGCAACGGCTCGTGAAACGGCGGGAGGGAGAGAGAGGCCGAGGATGCCTCTTGCCCCGGGCGACAATTGCACAGAAAAAGACGCGTCGTTTGTCGTCGGGTGGAGGGGCACACTGGCCCATGACGACATTGTACAGGGATGGGCGCACTGTATTGGGCGCAACAGCGGGGTAATCATGAGGTGCACCTCCTCCGTGCCCCTCGCTGCCTTCCCCCCTCTTTCCTCGTTGCTCGCGTACCTTGGGTACCTATGCCGGCTCGCTCTCTTCAGTGGACACACGGCGGCGTGCTGGGGCTACAATGAGGGGTTAATTCGCGTCTCTTCAGTGGCAGGATTGCACCCGCCTCGGGAGCAACAGGCAGCCAGGGCGCTCAGGGCATCCCGGGCAACCACCATCGGTGATGGGGCTGGCAGGGCAGCAGCAACCGTGACGGGTCGAGATCCCGTCTTGGTCATGGTGCTCATGTCGCTTTCGATCTGCATCTGGTGCTCTCGATGCCTGGCTCTGGCTTGTTGGTCTAGGTACTCGAGGCGTATCTTGGGCTGACCACCATTCTGGTCTACCTTTTCCTGATCGATCCCACTTCTGCTCTTAACCCGAAGACTGTCCACTTTTCAAGCTTCCCCTTGCTCTGCTGTTGGCTCGTCCTTCATTCTCCCTTCACTTGCTAGCCATTTCCACTGCCTGTTCACCCTGATCCGCGTTCATCGGCTTTCTAGACTCGACCGTAGCTCGTGGACTTTACCCAGACACCCAATCCGACGACCTCTATCTACTGCCATCATGTCTCAGGTATGTCACTTCGCCGTCTCCATCTCACCTCATAGGCACAGCTTCCTCCTGACATCAATGCCCAGATCACGCCTCTTCTGTTCGACTGCGACAACACACTCGTCCTCTCTGAGGAGCTCGCCTTTGAGGCCTGCGCAGAGCTCATCAACGAGATCTGCGAGAAGCACAAGATTGACCAGCGCTTCACCGGCGAGTCCTTGATCAAGGAGTTTGTCGGCCAGAACTTCCGCGGCATGATGCTCGGCCTCCAGAAGCTCTACAACTTCACCATGGAGCAGGAGGAGCTTGAGACATATGTCCGCCGCGAAGAGGATGCCGTCATCGCTAAGCTCAAGGCCTCTCTCGTCGCCTGCCCCGGCGTTGACGAGCAGCTCGAAGCCCTCCAGGCCGGCGGCAAGTACAAGCTCTCCGTTGTCTCGTCCTCCGCCAAGCGCCGTGTCTGGGCCTCCGTTGTCAAGGTCGGCCAGGACAAGTTCTTCAAGGAGGAAGAGGTCTACTCTGCCGCCACGTCGCTCCCCACACCCACCTCCAAGCCCGATCCTGCCATCTACCTGCACGCCCTTGACAAGCTCGGCAAGACGGCCGCTGAATCGGTCGCCATTGAGGACTCCAAGAGCGGCACCCTCAGCGGCACCCGCGCCGGCATCAAGGTCATTGGCTATGTCGGTCCTTATCCCGCCGACAGGCAGTCCGAGATGGAGAAGGTCCTGCGCGACGCTGGCGCCGTCGTCATCATGAAGGACTGGCAAGAGTTCCCCGACATCCTGGCCAAGCTGTAAGAGTCTGACGGGGATATGTTTGGGAGTGCGGAATGCCCTGTCGTCTTAATGAACACGACGACGAGGTGTGTGTAATGGTCAACAGCGATACAGGGTGCATTCAACAGCTGGCATAGGCCACGAACAAAAAAGATGATGGATAGAATGCAGCTTCATCTCCTATAGTCCATCAAAAAACTGTTAACACTCTGCAGTGATGCTCGGCCCGGGTTGGCCTCGGGATATACCGTCATGATGCTTCCTAGCCGATTCCGAACCATGTCCTTGTTGAAAATGGTCTTGGTGTCGGGTGCTCGGTAGTTGTCTTGTTGGTCAAAGCACCAGAGGCAGATGGCGAGGGCCACAGCCACAGATAAGTCCTTGCCGGTCTCGCACGCCACCAAGACGGTCGTACCCTCGGCGAGGGAGCCATCCTCTTTCTTTTGTGACTCGAGAAACCGCGTGACAAAGCCGCAAATATCAGGCAACGCCGTCCTCAGGTTCCGGCTCGCAACCTTGTGCTTCCCCAGCCCAACCTCCATCTCCGTCGGCGCCTTGACGATCCACGTTTCCTTCTCCGTGACCGCCGGTGTCAACTTGACGGTACACCTCCGAACCTTCCCGTCGTCCACCCCCGCAAGAGCCGAAACCGCCACTGAAGGCGCGACCTTCTTGGCTCCAGCGCTCCGGCTCGGCTCGCACGTGTCAACCAAGCCTCGCACGAGCGCAGGCAGCTCGCCCTCGGGCGTGCCGAGCAATTGGTCTACATGGGCCCAGAACAGCTCGGCCGTAAGCCCGCAGGCCCAGTTCTCCGTGTCGTCGCCCGCGCCCTGGACGTACACGTACCCGCCCTCCCTGAGCTCGCCGCCCGCGACCCGGCGCGAGGCCGTGCAGCAGACAACGGGGTGGGCGTCCTCGAAGACGGTGCTGCGCGGGCCCGCCGCCGTCGTGATCGTCTGGGGGAGGAGGAGCGGCGTGTCAGGCGTGATCCAGAGGGGCCGCAGGGGTTTCGGGAGCTGCGCGCGCAGCGGGGGCCAGGTCGAGGTCGAGAGCCAGGAATGCGGCGAGGAAGGACGGGGAGGAGGGCGGTGATCTGGGCGTGCTCCGGAGGGCGAGACTACTTTGGGGTGGCGTGTGCAGGGCGTGGGCTTCTTCTGGGAGGGGTGGGGAAGAGGGCGCGGTTGAGTACGGCGCACCAGATTGGGATTGTCTTTTGAGAGGGCGTCGGGGATTCCTAGGGCTCTATGTCAGGAGGGAAGTGAATAGTCTGGATCAAGAAGAGACTCACGTTTTCCGCGGCGGGTTGAGTCGACGATGATGCACCTTGGGGCTGATTAGCTTGAGAGTAAATAAACAAGGGCTGGTGATTGAGGGATCTCACCCGTCGCAACGGCCGATTATTTCGAGAAGATGAGGGTTCAGCCTCCTCGTGCTGAATTTCCAGGCATTGTCGTGGCCGTCTGTGCTTTTAAAGTATGCGCTCGCCGACTTGGTGCTGGGCGGGATGTACCAGCTTCCGCAGCGCTCGTTGGCGACAAGGGGCCGTGACGGTGTTGTCGTTTCTGTGGCTCCAGTAGGATTTTCCTCGACCGAGCCGAAAACCGCCGCTACCTCGCGCACAAATTCGGCATCGTGGATGATGGACCGCAGACGATTGGAGATGGAGAGGTCACCGCGCTTGAGTTCGGTGAGGAGATGTGACAAATTGGGCTGCTCCGACGCAGAGGGAAACACAATGTCAGACAGGCTTGTCATTATTTGGAGTTTTTCTTTTTTTTTTGTAGTTATATGAGCGCGGAGTAACTCGCTCACAATTGTATACGGCGGTTCTTGATGTGGTGGTGTTCTTGGGGTTTGAGCAGAATTGGTGTTGCGCATTTTCGTACTGTGCGCAAGGGGTCTCCGTTGCTTCCGGCACTGTCTTACCCCCTATTTGTCTCCATCATGCCCTTCCCAGAAGGTGGGTGTAATTCAAGATGTTTTCTTCTTGAAACCTTCCTTTGTAAATTTAATGTAGTTACTGGTTCTGTCCTATCGCAATGGATTTCCAACTCAGCATTAGTTTTATCACGGTGCGACTCGACATTGTCACTCAAAATCTTGGATCGAGCTTTAGACGAGGTCAGCGCGAGTCCATGGCGACAAGAAACAGTACTTTCAACACCATCTCTTGGTTCTTCTGATGGAGATCATCAGTTTGAGCTGAAGAACCAAACTTTGTCCCAGTACGGTACGCGATAATTGAAAATGTTATCGGGTTCGTCGTGGAAGACGAGGAGGCTTGTCTCTTGAGGATGATAATCACCGTGCTCAGGTTTGAGCTTCGCCTGAAGTTTGGCTGGAGCTTCATCTTTCTACAACTCTTTATCTCCATATTCTGTCGGTATGTCAAGCATTCCGACGGAATGACAGGGACGGTAGGTTACCGCAGGTTCAGCGGAAGTTGTTTGTGGTGAGGGGGCCTTTGTCTTCTGGACGTTGTCACTTGGCCAATTCCTTTCTTGATTTGATCCTCGCAGGCCTCGTATTCCTCCCTCTGGCGACCTTCTTTGCTCGTCTCTTTTCCTTCTTTCTGTCTTTCTGTGCTCGTAAGAGGTCGGACGCCTCGTTTCCAGCTTCTTCCATACCAGGCTTCTCCGCAATGAAGGAGACGGCATCCTCGTTATCAGGGTTGTCGACGTTCTTGGTACCTAGAGTGAGCGGTATCTCCATCCATGAAGTCGTATAATCATGCTTCGAAGGCGTGTTCTCCGGGACTGAAATTGCATCTTCGTCGTTGAAATTCGCCATTTCGTTCTCAGAAGGGCCTGGCACATCAGGCACCGAAGCGAGGGTCTCGAAAACGGAAGTCGCAATATTTTTCACAAAAGCTGTGATATTGCGCGTTGACGATATTAGGCTGGCACCAACAGTTGCTTCATATTGATTGATACAGTTGACGTCGGTTCTCGTTACTTGAGCGCGAAAGGCTTTCGATCGAGCCTCCCTCTTCTTCTGCCTATATGCAGTGGAAAGGCGGCCCATGATTGCGTGCCAGTTGATTGAAATGGTTGTGGATGGTCTAAAGAAATAGTCATAAAGAAGAAATCCGAGGATTAGTGGCAGTGGTACTATTTTAGTAGCCCTCTTAAAAAGGAAGGGCATTGCCGAAGCAGAGTCTCAGTGAATCATGATAAGTATTGTTCGCACCTTCCTTCTCTACTCTGGACAGTTTAACAACATCTCCAAAACCAAATCACACTTGTGCTGCACAGAAAAGGGCATAAGGCTCGCCTGCCCTCCAACCCTGCGTCAGGGTTGGGGGACAGGCTGCACAACTCCACGAGGCCCGAGTTGTGGCAGAGCTTTGGAGGCTTCGGGATTCGAACGTGCGGTCTTTGGGGGTTGCTTCGTTCTTTAACTACTGGGCTAGTAGTCTGTTGGGAGGAACCATCGTTTGTTTGTATATATTGGAAGGAGTGCGATCGTTTGGCTGTTGCCTGGTAGTAACCGCCTGTAGGGCGCGGAGGATCGCGAGGCGATGAGCCTCACCTGCTTTCTCCATGTCCATGACTGTTGCTCCTAGAGCTTCTATCACGTTCTTGAATGGAAGATATTCGCTTGGGCCTTTCAAGATCAACCATTTTTGCTAAGATACAGCGAAGTAATAGCATTCTCTTCATGAATGGCAATCCCCAACCGCCCGCCTACCTTTGTCAACGGAAGGGCCAAACACGAAGCATCATAAGAATCCGTACAGACTAAGCCATTTATTCAGAGTGACAAACTTAGCTGGCATGCTTGTCTGCCACGCGTAATTTGGAAATTCATTCGAAGGGAGTAGTCCGAGTCACATCTCGGAGCCTGCTCCCGTTTTCAAGCAGCTATATCAGAACAATCCGACAGTACAGCGGCTTGGGCCTCTAGTAGTGGAATCAAAAGTCTAGCTAGGAACCTCAAGTTCTCGTGGATCTATTCGATGACCGGCGAAATGACATGAGTGTGGGTTTGGATGTGAATGCAGTAACATGTGAGGAAGAGGCTGGCGACAGTGGAAACACTCCCACACTCGATACCTGGCGACTTACGGGGTGATCTACCGCTTCTCATTTGATTTTTAATCAGTTGTTTGATTTGATCAAAACATATGATCAGTTTCTACCATTGCCAGGTAGAAAGCCTGTCACTGAGACGGGCCCGACAGCCGGGGCTCCCGTGTGCCTGACGGCGGGGCGGTGTTGTCCCAGGTGAGGCAGAGCGAGGCTCTTATCTACTCGGGGTGGCACAGCAACGGCGATGTAGGTGAGTGGAGGCACTGTACGAGTACCGCAGCATGACGTCGTGACAAGCGCTTGGCACCTGCAGCCACAGCTCGTACCGGGGCAAACCGAGCCGATTCTTACCTATTCGCGCCCACTCGCGCCCACTCTCGAAGCCGAGACAGGCCCACCATTCGTTGCCTGGGGCACAGGGACACACACTCACCGTGGCGCAGCATTACTGGCCTCTGGAACCACCTGGGCGCCTTTTCGCTCTGTCACGGGCCACTAGAGAGCTTTGCGACGCCAGCAGCTGCGTCAGGTTCAGAGGCGGAGCTTGGCCGCACGTCAGCCCCTAAGGTACACAGCTTTGGCACCCCCTACTCGTGTCCACATCACAGCCAGCACGGAAGGCGAGGTACCTGGGGACGCGTCTTCAGTACTGACGCAGGCACACTGGTACAAGCACTGACACCAACGGTGGGCTAGAACTACAGTGCTGGGAGAGACAGCCCTGGAGCCGGTGCTTCCATTTCCACCCTGCCACATCCATCCCATCCGACAGACAGCCCAACGCAACTTTCTTTCCCCTTTCTCGTCCGTTCCACTTCCAACATTTGGACGACGTTCGCTTCACCTCTGATCACCTTACGATACGACCTGAATTCGATCTTTTTTTTTTTTTTTTTTGACGAGCATACTGCACACCCAAGAGCCTGGCTGACCATCCCACGCGCTCTTTCACTCCTGCTGCTGCCATCATCAACTACCCAGACGGAACAGCCGCATCGAAGCATACCCACCTATTTTTAGATCGACACCAGCGACATCGCAGAACCTTTGTGTCTGAGAAGGGTAAACAGAACCCTACAACATCACAAAGTCAACCCCGGGACCCCAATACACTAAAAAGCCCATCGACGCCCTCTCCAGACGCCCTCGAGGCTCTTCCTCGTCGCAAAGATGTTTGCCAATTTCGAATGGGACCCTGAAAATGTCCCCATGCTCAAGATGGGCATACACTGCCTTCAGATTCTCCTAGCCTTTGTGCTCTGGTGTCTAGAGATTGCTGTCTTCGTTGGCGACAAGGCGGAAGTTACAGGAAACAACGGCTGGACTTTCGGAGTGGTAAGCTACCAGCTCTTGTTTGCCCCCGTTCCTGGGATCGCTACGTCGAAATCTTGCTGATCTGGCTACCTGCAGTGCTTCCTTTCCATCCCAGCATGGCTCTACCTCATCATGACCCCACGATGGCCGAGGACACGCAAACTTGCCGAGCCGCACGCTATGCTCGCCGTTGATGCCATCTTCACCATCATTTGGCTCTCCGCCTTTGCCAGCCAGGCTGCCTATAACACCGCCAACAAGTGTGGCAACGTTTGCGGGCTGAGCAAGGGCATTGTCGGACTCGGCGTTATCATCACGTAAGGATAATGATTCGATCTTGGAGACCTACGTGCTAAGACCTTTGTAGCCTTCTGTTCGGTGCCTCCACAGCCGTCAGCGTCTACACCCTCCGTCACTACCGCTTCCATGGCGAGCTTCCCGGCTATGACAAGCAGCGTATCAAGAACGACAACATTGACCCTGATAAGGCTGCCTTCTCCATGGCACCCCATGACGAAGAAGCCTACGCTCCTGTCCAGATGGACGACCACCCTGATCACCACACCGATACGGGCTACGGCGGCGGCGGCGGCGGTTTCAACGATAACCCCTACAGGCCTGGAGGCGGCTCTGCGTACGGGGAGGACGACGATCCCAACCGATACGGCAGCTTGCCCTCCCGTCACAATGGCCCCATGTTCGATAGCGAGACAGAATATAACTCACAACAGACGTCTGCGGTTGGGGGCCGCCAGTCAAGTCCCAACCCCTACGGTGGACCGCGGCAGCCCAGCCCCTATGCACCCCCAACAGCGCACGACGACTATGACGACAATGCGCCTGCGCAGTTCCCCTCGGCTAACTACGATCGCACATTGCGCTAAGGAATGTAGATCAATAACAGGACTGCCAAAAAGAAAATGGCAGAGGGCGCACATGACAGCTCCCAGCATGATACAGATATTTGTTGTGGCTTGTTTCGGTTTCCACGGGTGTTGGCGGCGTCAACTGTATACTACATGAGGTAGTCCAAGGATCCCACATGGCGAGCTTTCATATCGGAATTGATAGATAGATGGATGGATATGGATGGATGACATTGTTTTTGATCAATTTTGCGAGCAAGTCTTGTTGTTTTGACCCGAGCATCAAACCCATAACGCCAGACTCCCATACATGTGCCCATGTGTAACTATGCAACATGCGCTTCGCCTCACCTAGCAACTGACATGGATCCCAACGTGCCTACCCTCTAATGCTGCGACTGCTTCCACTTGTTCACCCTCCGCGCAATATCCCTTTCCGTCTGCTGCATCTGGTTCAGCTTGCGGTCCCTCGCCATGGCAGCCGTATTGTCTCCGTGCTTGGCGACAAGCCTCTCGATCCACTCGACCTCCTGCTCGCTCTGATGCCTCGGCTTCTTTTCTACCTCGCGGCTCGCCTCCTCCTCGAGCATGCGGATCACCTTCGGCCTGCTCTCCTCGTCCCTCTCCTCGATGCCGCCCCACTCGCCGCCGTCCACGTCCTCATCGTCCTCCGAGTCCGTCTCGAGAGCGACGAGCGGGTCGTTGAGCGGGTTTGCGCGCGGCTTCCTCCCCGCGTCGGCGTAGTGGATCTTGATAATCTTGCCGTCGGCGTCGCGCTCGACCCGCGCCTCGCCAATCGTGGGCTTGTTCACGGCCGGCGCGATGGCGAACGGGTCAATGGGGATCGGCTGGCGGGTGCCCGACGCCGCGGCGCGGACCGACTTTTCGACACCACCCGTCGGGGCCTTGAGGCGGGCCGTCAAGCCGAGGCGACGGTAGTTTTGCGTCAGTGTCTCCTTCTTGTTCCTGGACGTGGGGAGTGGACGGTCAGCGCTTTTCGCCTCGAGGTACGGGAATTCTTGCTCATCTCGTTTTGAAGAAGAGGAGAGTGAGGGCATGGCGCGACCTACCAGTTCTGGGCGACGATGCTGTTGCCGCGGGGGTTGAGGGCCTTCTTGGGCTTGTTGGACTGGCGGATCGTGGACTTGGAGGAGCGGCGCTTCTTGTTCTGGCGTTGGGAACCCATTGTGACAGTTGTTTGATCGGAGAGCGGTTACTGGAGTAAGGGGACTGAAGCAGCAGGTTCGCTTGGTGATGTCTTTAGCCTTTGCGGTGCTGGGACCTCGATCTTTTGCATCCCGCAGAGGGCCCTTAGAAATTTTGAGCCTTATCTTATCGGCACTTTTTGCTCGGCTGGGCGAGGTACACCGACCCACACCGAGACAACATTCGAGGCACGGATATCTTGGAGGTGGGCTTGCAGAGGCCGACAAACTGATGAGAAAATACTGGCAAGTATATGGACGAGTGAAGGGGTTCTCCTCAAGGCGATTCCATGTAGGCTGGGAGTTACACATTCGGATGGCTTCCAATTATTCGTACCATGAATCAAGAGAAAACTACATAATGCAGCTGGATTCTCCCACCTGCAACAACAAGCAACCTGCCTGCCCGGCTAGCTCAATCGGTAGAGCGTGAGACTCTTAATCTCAAGGTTGGGGGTTCGAGCCCCCCGTTGGGCTCAATTCCTGACGCATCTCGGATGAGATTTCATTTTTGACGTTCTTGACGACCTCGTTTCGGATTGAGGTCAACGTATACTTTTACTTATTTGCCCTTACCACACAAGTGATCATTCGTGTCCAATGCTAGGCTGCAAAACCCCGCCATTCCGAATTCTCTGCGTCACGCTGGAAACAGTTGTTATGGAAATACATAACGATCAATTTTGTCATCTCATTCATACATCGTCTACAAGGGGTATGTCTACACCAGCTTCCAGAAACCGTTCTCCTCCTCAATCTTAATGTCACGGCCTTCGTCAATGCTGCGACGGCCAGCCTCGAGGATGGCCGTCGTGGCGATTGTGTTCCTCAACGTCGGCAGACCCTTCTTGTTGAGGTCCTCGGGCTTCAGGGCGCCGCTGTTGACCTGGCGACAGCCGTCGACGAACTTTTCAATGGAGATGTAGCCGTAGCCCGTCTGGCCGTTGAAGTTGCCGTCCTCGTCGGGGGCGTAGCGCATGTAGAAGGGGTTGTACCACATGAGCTGGCCGAGCGAGTCGTCGGCGACGTCGTAGCCGCGCTTGGCCTGGTCGATGCGGATCTCGCCGTTCTGGGCGAGGTAGTGGAAGTACTGGTTGGAGTGAACGCCGGCGCGCTGGGGCGCCGTCCAGGAGGCCGTGTAGACGCCCGTCGCGCGCTTCGAGGGGTCGTCCTTGCGGGCCCACTGCACGATCAGCGAGATGGTGTCCTCGGTGGCGGGATCACAGCCGAGGTCGGTGGCCACGCCCTTGGAGGCCGAGGCCGAGACCTTGACGGGCAGGTAGCCCTGCTGGGTGACCATGGAGTCGCAAATGTCAATGTGGTGCGAGTTGAGGTAGTAGGAGATGTCCGAATCGACACCGGCCCAGGCCTTGAAGGTCTCGAGCTGGGACTTGGGCTGGGACATGTACGAGTAGAAGTAGTTGAAGTCGCCAAGGCTCTGGGCCTTGTGGCGGGCGTCCGAGTAGGCGGGGTCGAAGCGTTTGTGGTGCTCGACAAAGACGTAGACGCCCTTCTCCTCGGCGGCCTTGATTAGCTGCTGGTGGTGCTCGAGGAGCTTGACAGCGGGTTTTGTGACGAGGACGTGGATGCCGCGCTCAATGGCGTAGAGGGCGATGGGGAAGTGGGTGGTGTCGGGCGTGAAGATGGTGATGGCGTCACCAGGCTTTAGCGCGTCAATGGCCACCTTGTAAGACTCGGCGTCCTTGACGTCGTTGGCGGGATACGAGTCGAACGAGATGTCGAGGTTGTTGTAGACCTTGGAGATGTTCTTGTCGAGGTGCTCGCGGATGGCGGGGAATTTGGTGCCGTTGGTGCCGGCCATCGACAAGTTGTTAACCTTGCCGCGCCGCCTCAGGTCGAACAGGGACAGACCGATGACACCAACCTTCTTGTCGGAGCCAGAGGCACCGCCGCCAACGAAGCCGGTGGTGTACTCACCGGTACCGATCTACGGAGGTTAGTCAAAGGTCGCAGAAGGACGGTGTTCTGCTCTCGAGCTACTCACCATCAACACGTTGAGTGGCTCGCCCATTGTGACAGTGTTACTGAGGTTTTTGCTGGGAGGAGGAGAGTGAGAGGACGGACAGTGGAATGGGATGGCAGATGAGGAGGAAGATGGAGCTTGAGCAGAGAGGAGATGGCGCGAGGCTGTCTTTTAAACGGCTCGAGGTGGCTCAAGGAAACAGCGGGCAGCTTCGGGAGGTTGATCCGATAGCAAGAGGTACAATTTCTCGGTAGGAATGGCTTGCGGCACGATCAGCAAGCTAGGATATCGTCAAGCTCACTTGAGGCTGCGACCATGCGCGGGACGCCTGTAACGGTCAGGGTCAAACGATGGAGCACCGTAACATGGCGGAAGAATTGAGGGGCAAGAAGAGGGGAAGCAATTGGAGGGATAAAGGCGCCCCGCGCTCCGTCACCGGGCAGTCGGCGCGAGGCAACGATGGAGAGGCTGCCAGCCAGCAAGCAAACAGCCAGCCTTAGGCGCAATCATCCTGGTTTCCAAACGCGCTGGAGCCAGGAGAGCACGCGCGGCCGTGACAACCGAGCCTGGACGGCAAGTCATGGAGATGGGGTACAGGCGTGGAGCTGGCTGGGGCCTGTCACTGGGGGCTGTCTCTGCGATTGCTATCCTCTGAGCTGTTGACCACAGCATATACCCATCAGGCCTGTACATGTCTCACACGCCGCCAGCGTTCGTTTCCTGATTGTTGACAGAAGTCCAGAAGTCCAGATGATGCGCCCAGAAGCCACTCCAGGCGGATACGGCGCAAAAACGAACCCAGGCAAGACAATGCAAAGCCCCCCAACGAGGCACCTCCCACCCCCACGTATGATTTCCCCGCGTGGCCGGGACATGGATAGTAAGGGCACACCCAGGGATGATGGAGGGGTTCCAAGGGGGGTCGGGATGCGAAGAATGCAAATGCTGAAAGGGTCGAGACCATTCGTGGTCCGAGTATTCTTCGCCTGGCAGAATGCAGTGTTCTTTCGACAGCTCGAGTCTCTCCCCGGATGACCCTTGAGGGAGAAAAAGAAAACAGTATCACGATTCCATGCAAGACCTCAAGGAGCACCGACACCTTGTCACCGCAGCCACTTCACAGGCTAAAGTCGGATGGGAATTCGAGATGGTGATGCATGTCATCTCAGAGTATTGCAGGTTGATGCCACTAGGCAAACACCCTGGAACTGGAAGTGCAAGCAAACGGAAGGCGATAGAGGGGCACAGAGGGGGATCTCACGCATATTGCACCCCCGTGCACCCCCTTGTACCGCCATCGACCATGGGATGTGTGGCTTGACCGTGACTGGCTGCTGGGAAGTCTCGTCTCACTCGCCTGGTTGTCACGCAATTAATTGGTGGATAATCTAGCTCTCGGTTTTTCCGCTGCCATTGCCAGTGCTCTTCCTGTTTCCAATTCTCTCCGTCTTCAACCACTGTTTCTGGCAACAACTCAGTGCATCACGAAATTGCTACTGCGTATTTGACACCCTCACGGCGTCGTTCAACCCGGAAATCTTTCGTACGTCTGCATCATGTCCTTTGCGATCACCATGCCCAGCTGGCCAGCCATCAACCAATCCGTTCCCTGAAGTCACGGCTAGCGCGAGTTGCGAGCAGGCTGTTGTCTCGAAGATATGCACGAACTGCTGCGGTTTGAGTCTCAAGACTGTCAACTGCATCAAGTCAAACGCCGTTGTTGATCATCAACGTTCTTGCAGCTGGGCTCTCACCCATCGTGTGGTGTCGATCCAAAGGGGTCCCAAACAACGGACACACGCCTTCTGGTCTGCCAGACCCCGGATGTCGGCATGGACCAAATGCCCCCCACCACTCCGACGCGGTCTTCTCTCCATCACGATAGTCTCGCTCGGCTCGCTGTATCTGCTTTGTCCCTCTGGAATCTCGAACGAGTGAGACCCGACGGTTGGCTCGCTGGCTATGGTCCAAACGCCTAGCCTACCCACTACCCCTCTCCCCCTCCAACGAACGGTACTGGCTCATCTGCACCCCTCCGCCTTTTCTGTCCCATTTCTTCACTCCCCTCCCTGATCGGTGCGGCTACATACCCACATACCGTCCATTGGGTGCTTGCTCGTACCAACTATTTCCTCTTACGTTTGCCTGCGTCTTCAGCCCCTTTGATTCCCACCATTGAAAACAACCCCCTGATCTCTCGTCCATGCCCCGTGCCTCAGATGAAGACGCCCTAAAAATGGCAAAAAGGCCTAGTGGCCAGTTTCCTCCTTCAGTACCCATGTCCTGCGAGGCAAGATGAGAAAGAGGAGGGGGTGCTCTTCGCACAACGCCGCTAGCGACGTGGGCTCGGCTGTGACGTTTCTTCATGCTCCGTCACTGAATGACAATGGAGGGGTTGCTCGTCACTGGAAATTTGGGCACACTGACTGTACTGGGCCAAAACTTGGGGGGTGGAGGGGGTGGATCGCTAGCTTGGCCGGTCTGGCGTCCGAGGAACACCACGACGCCCCGATCTCCCTGTCTTCGGACCAATGTCCACACGAGCAAGTCTTCTTTTCATGCTAAATATTTATACCGTCGGACCCGTTTCCCCCACGCAAGCTGGCTCCCCTGGACGCCGGTCATGAGACATCTCCTGCATCGCTTCCCTCCTGCCCCTCATATAAGTAACGCCATCGACACCTGGGTCTCCTCGACTTTCACTCAGTGTATCTTTTCCCACTCTCAATTCCTGCTCTTCTCAACCCGCCTCACTCAATCTCCCTCCCTCTCCTCTTACAAACCCTACCAATCTTCATCATGACTGCCTCCAACGGTACCAACGGCCACTCGGCCCCCAGGCCGCTGCCTGTCGGCATTTACGCCCCGACCATGACCTTCTTCAACCCCGAGACCGAAGACCTCGACATCCCCGTCATCAAGAAGCACGCCGAGCGTCTGGCGCGCGCTGGCCTTGCTGGCCTCGTCACCATGGGCTCCAACGGCGAGGCTGCCCACTGCACCCGCGAGGAGAAGATTGCCGTCACCAAGGCCACCCGCGAGGCTCTTGACGCTGCCGGCTTCGAGCAGACCCCCATCATCCTTGGCGCCACCGAAGGCAGTGTTCGCGGAACCATTGAGCTTTTGAAGCTGGCCCCTGCCGCCGGCGCCGACTACGCCCTCATCCTGCCCCCTTCGTACTTCCGCGCCCAGATGGACGAGGCTGCCGTTCACGACTACTTCATCGCCGTCGCCGACGAGAGCCCCATCCCTCTCATTCTCTACAACTACCCTGGCGCCGTCTCCGGCATCGACATGGACAGCGACCTCCTCATCAAGCTGGCCGAGCACAAGAACATCATCGGCACCAAGTTTACCTGCGGCAACAACGGCAAGCTGACCCGTGTCGCCCTGGTCACCGACGCCAAGACCCCCTGGAACGAGGGCTCCGGCTACATGGCCTTTGGTGGCATGTGCGACTTCACCGTCCAGACCCTCGTCAGCCGTGGTAGTGGCATCATCGCTGGTGGACGCCACGTCGCCGCCCAAGGTCGGCGTGAAGTTTGGGACCTCTACGCTGCGGGCAAGAAGGAGGAGGCCATCGAGCTCCAGATGAAGCTCAGCAAGGGTGACCTGGTACCTTACCAAGGCCGCCGTCCCCGGCACCAAGGGTGCCATCAACAGCTACTTCGGCTACGGTGGCTACGGCCGTCGCCCCCTGAAAGCGCCTCGAGAAGGAGAGGACTCAATACATCGCGGACGGCATCAAGGAGCTCATGGACATTGAGAACTCTCTGTAAACTCCTCGCTTCCTTTCCCGGGAGACTCAACTTCGCCTCACGGGTGACAGCATCCCTCGTCTCGTTGGAGATAGTGTGCGCGCGCGATGAAGCACCGAGCCCAGCAATGGAGGGGGTGGGCTCGGCCCCGTGGTGACCGAAACAGCGAGGTGCGCGCTACGTCAAAAGTCGCGAGTCTGCCCCTCTTCGGCCCCCCACCTGTGGGGCACCGCCCCAAAGGGCTCACAAGCCACAAAACCCCCCTTTCACCCACCAAAGTGGGGGTCCGTTGACGACCCCGCGGGCGGAGGGACCAAATCTCGGGATAGAGGCCGACCGGGCAGTCGCTATCCCGGGGGAATTGCGGACGCTTGGCGGTCGACTCTTATTTTTTTCTTTTTCTGTGTGTTCTCATGGTTCGTTCCATATTTCGTACATTGGAGTTGTGCATGGAGAAATAGCATCTTGATCGGATTTGGAATCGAGCGCACATGTGTGTCAAAATGGGCCGGGTTTCGTATGGGATGGATTGCAAGGTGCCACGAGGCGAAGGGGAGACGAGTGTCAGTGCCATACATGGCGCATCAATAGAGATACCGTTATGACTTGTGATTCTTGTCCCCCGTGCCGTTCAGCATTGTCATGTCGACTTTTGTTTATTTTCGCTGTCGTAGGCCTAGAGACCCGTCGGGAGCGTCACAATGCGACGAACCTAAGTGGAGCCTCGGCTGGACCGACGGCTATTAGGTATTAGACTTCCTGTCTCGTGGAGGCTAGCAACTGTTCATCCACATAATATTTGGATTCCCCAGCTTCATTACCAGTGTCATAAGGTATTCTCGTTCTCATTCTCATGTTCGTTGAACTGTGCCGTGCGCCACCTATGCACTATGCGATGATCCATGTTCACACGCGACTGTACCGCCTGGGGTCCATCTCGCTGATATCAGAGCTGCTCGTCTTCCCGTCCATCACATACTCGGCCATGAGCTTCCCCGTCGCCGGCCCGTTCTGGATCCCCCAGCACGTGTGCCCGGCCGCGACCCACAGCCCTGGCGTTGACGTCGCGCCGATCAGCGGCCCGCCCTCGCGCTGCGGCAGGTAGCACGCCTGCTTGGCTTTGACGTTGGCGGCTGCCAGCTGCGGGCTGAACGTGGCAATGTAGGCGAGCAGGTCGTCGCAGTTGGCCTCGTCGACGCGGATGAGGTCTGCTGTGTCGGGCAGCGGGTCGGTGCGGTCGGGCTCGCCGCAGGCGTAGACCTCGCCAAAGGGGCGGGCGTAGATCTCCGGGTCGACGATGCGCTTGTGCTTGCGCCGCTGGCCCTTGACGACGCGGTGGGCGGGGACATAGTCCTCGGGCAGCAGGACGCGGGTGAAGACGGCGTAGGGAGAGACGGTCGCGTCGTAGACGACGCTGTGGGCGCGCAGGCCCTCGACCTTGGATTTTGGGAGCAGCTTGCCGGTCCAGGGGCCGGCGGTGACGATGACGTCTGTAATGTCGGACAGGGTGTGCGTCTCGGACGTGTCGCGGTCGAGATACTCCACCGATTCGACGCCGGTCGGCGACGAGTTGATCTTGGTGAGCTTTGCGCGCGTGCGAATGTCGACGCCTTTCTCGGCTGCGAGGGCCGCCATGGACGTTGTGAAGTGGAAGGGGTGGACCTGTGCGGTTTCCGTCGCGCCGGGGTGGCCCATTTCCTGGTACGAGTCGATGATTTCGTGATCGACCCAATCGAGGTCCTTGGGGACCACCGAATCTGCCAGCAGAGCTTCCGCCGCGTCGTCCTGTTTCGGGAGCCGCTCCCAACCTTTTTGTTCTTCTCCGTCATTCGCACCAGGTACGGCAGCGGCCCGGGCCGCGGAGGCTTGCTCTACGGCGTCGAGCTTGGCACGGGTGACTGTTGCGTCGAAGCTGCCGCATCCGACCCTTCGGTATCCCCAGCGTTCGGCACCACCATGCTCGGCTGCGAGCTCGGCATGAAGACGGTAGGAAAGCGGCACCAGAGGCTGCGGATAGGCCCAGAGCGCGAGGAGGCCACCAGCTTTGCCCGAGGCGCCGGCCGCGATGGAGGTGGCCTCGAGAAGGGTAATCTTGTGCAGCGTGGGGTCAAATTTGGGATGTCGGGAGAGGAAGTAAGCTGTCGTTGAGCCAATGATGCCGCCGCCTGGTCGATGTCGTCAGAGCTCGAGCCACGGTGGCGCCTCCACGCAGAGTCACAGTGCTCACATACCGACAATGACAATGTTCTTTTTTGATTGGGGGTCCATTGTGCGCAGCTGGGGGTAGATGGATTGTGTGGCTTGGGGATGCAAGGCACGCAGAGCCTGGGTAGCCTTCTTCCTCTTTTTGACACCGTTACTCATGGCGGGCGGCCGGCTACAACGAACGAGAGGCAATGGCGGAGGGGCATCCAAGTGCCAGAGCTCGAATGGCGGGGTCAAGCTCTTATCGATAAGGCACACGGCCTTTTGACGAGCTCGACGCGCGATTCTCCCAACGATTCCAGGTCGAGGCGACCGATGCCTAGGTGTCCATAATCGCCGAAAGGGACGAAGCAAAAGGCCGATGGTGCATTCGCCTGACGTTCGGCGCGATCGTGATTGGTTCAGCAGCATGACAGCCTGCTTATTAATGACTCGCGCACCTCGGCTCACACGCGGGAAGCGGAAGAACATGTGCCCCGGTCGCCCCATTCTGGCCCAAAACGCGCTGTCGGGTGGTCGGCAGACCCGGATCCAGGACCCTTGCCACCCCTCCCCCCCTCCCCCTCCAGTAGTCGCATGTTCCACAACAGCTCATGCTGTGGTCCCACTGGAAAGAACAGCTTCAAGCATCTTCGATGACGGAAACTAGGCCAAAACGACACCCTGCCCGGCCATGACATGTCCTCGGTTCGTGTCGCAGCATTTTCGCCAGCTCGCATACAGACCCCGCCTTGACCACAAATCTACTGACACCCTCGCTCGTTTGAAAACTTGCTCCCTACAAAAACAACAACCGTACCACATACAACACCGTCGCCCGACAAACACATCCGTGACCTTGAGATACACCCCGCCTTCCGACTCGATACGAACACGAACAACCATGGCATCCGCTACAAGCTTCTACGACTTCAAGCCGCTTGACAGTACGTGTCTGGCCCCCATGCGCGCTCCAATTGGACTGTCCGCTAACACATTGATCAGAGCGCGGCCAGGAGACCCCCACTGCCGATTACAAGGGCAAGGTCGTCCTCATCGTCAACACGGCCTCCAAGTGCGGTTTCACACCGCAATTCGAGGGCCTCGAGAAGCTCTACAAGTCCATCAAGGAGAAGCACGGTGATGACTTTGTCATCCTCGGCTTCCCCTGCAACCAGTTCGCCGGCCAGGACCCCGGTACCGACGACGACATCCAGAGCTTCTGCCAGCTCAACTACGGTGTCACCTTCCCCATTATGGCCAAGTCCGACGTCAACGGCGATGCGGCCAACCCCCTCTTCACCTGGCTCAAGGATGAGAAGCCCGGTATCATGGGCCTCAAGCGCATCAAGTGGAACTTTGAGAAGTTCCTTGTCGGCCGCGACGGCAAGGTCAAGGGACGCTGGGCCAGCACCACCAAGCCCGAAGCTCTTGAGAAGCCCGTGCTCGATGAGCTCGCCAAGCCCGCGCCCGCCGATGCTGCTCCTGCTGCCAAGCCCGAGTAAGCTCTCGCCTTGAACGACGGGCATGATACGTGTGCTAGGTTATAAAAGCGACCTTCCTCCGTACACGAAACTGTCCTTCAGCCAGCTGTCTTTACATGTCTATATCCCGAGTCTATATATCCCTGTTGCGATGAATTGACGATTTCCTTCACCGCCTTGGACCACCATGATGCATACTGCCGTTTGGTGTTTGTAGTTGCGTAGTGCATTCCAAAAATGCGTCCTGTCCCGTTCTGTGCTCATTGCTGAACCTACTGTTACACCTCAGTTATACGGTTGGCACCACACTGCATTTGTGAAATATGCTAGCTTAGACGCCCTAGGCTGACCTTCAGTCGTTCTCCCTACGAGCCGCCTGCAACATCTTCGACTGAAACGACCCCCCTCGCGAAGGGACTGGTCGATATTCGGCGGCCTTTTCATAGAATTGCGGCACGGGAATCCTATCTACGTGCGAAGCAGCATGTGGCTGTTTGCCACTGCATGCCCTCACAGGTGACGAGGTCCATGTTGGGACGTTTGGCGAGGGTCTGCGCGCAAGCGCAGACGCCGATAACGATAGCAATCGGAAGCCAAAGAGATGAGCTATTGGCGCAAGTGCGCCATAGTCTGCGAGATCGCCTTCCACGACCCTAGTCGAGATCTGTTGTTTGTCAATTGGCGACGACGAAAATAGACCATAGGGCTCGTGGCGTCAAAATTGACCAGGCCTGCCAAGTTATCATAGGACTTAAGGTTGCGATTAAGGTCAAGATCGACGTGGCGATCTTTGGTGACGATCTGAAGCTGCGTTCCCGTCCGATTACAAAAGTTCCTTGCAGGTCGCCAGCCCATTTCCTACCCTGTCCGAAATCCTTTCGGCTTCCCAACTGAGTAGGACAGTGGCTTGAATTAGACCCGAAGCAAAAGGCTTGACCACCGCAGCAAGCAAGTCTTCCCAACCTGGGGGCAAGCAACATCAAGTCTGCAGGCTGAGGTGGAGTGCCCCTCTACACATCGTCGTAGGACTTCTCGCCTGTGCCGCAATGACGGCAACTGTCGCCACGATGCTGTTTGTGCCGCTGAGGATTCCCATGGACTCTAGATTCAGGTGCCCTGCAAGATCCGGTTGAGTATGGTAGCGCGTGTCGGCTGCCATTCGTTCCCGAGAGCGGCAGGGCTGCGCCTCGCAACAGTCCACTGATGTATGAAGCTGGTCTACACGATACTCACTTTCATAAAATCTATAAAATGACAGAAGCCTCTCATGGTCTACAGGAGATAATTCATAATCATCTCAAACATACTCTCAGGCTTGTAACACCACAGTTTCCTTGCCAGTTTTATTGCATTGTCAACTCACTTATATTTCTTTATCGTTCGCCTCAGTCAGAATGCACTCCTCCGCCATGATTCTGGGACTTGTAGTCTCAACGACGGCATCTCCACTGTACGACACCAGCCGGTTCAGCAGACGCCAAGATGAACCCTTCAATGACAAAGCAAAGCTCTGCGGCCTCCGTGACCTCTCAAATCCAGATGGAGCCAGAGCTGCATGGGAGGAAACCGGGGCCGCCTCTTTCCTCGACAACTTTATCACCAATGACAGAAGTAAGTTGCAGATGCCTGACCCCCCGCAAGTATCAAATGCTGATCTCGAAATCTATCATTCAGAGGGTGATCCGACAGATTGGGTCAAGATCCTCGAAAGGCTCATCACTGGTGACCCTGGCACGAATGCGGACGGTTGCTCCAGCGTCAAGAACGAGTGCAATCCCGGCATCGAGCAGGGCGATTGCGCAACGTACTTTGACACCTTGACGGAGTATCCTAACCAACGCCTTGGATACTGGGTTTTCATGGCGGTGAATGGACTGCACCAAAAGCTCACGGCCCTCTACAACGAGCTCTTTGAGAAGACGATGCTCAACACCCTGGCCATTCCAACCATGGTCGAGAAGCTCGGTGGCGATCAGGGTTCTGGTGGAGATGTGCTGAAGTGGTTGACTGCCGCGGCTGGAGCGGGTGGTGCCGTTGCAGGCATGAGCCCCAATGTACGTGCCGCAGACCGATGATGAACAGTCGATATCCGATGCTAACACCATGTGCAGGGAGCCATCCTCGGAGGTGGTCTCAGTTTCCTGTCTGCCATGTTTGGCGCTGCAGCTGAGGAGGAAAAGGACCTTGTTGACGACATCGGAGCCGCCATGGGAGCCGCTTTCGAGAAGACGAGTGCACGGATTTCCAGGGCGCTGGGAGCCGCCGTGGGCAGGGCGACTGATCCGGGAGATTACAATGCTCTTCCGGCGGGCCCCGGGTCGGAACCCTTTCAGAGCAGTATCGCCAAGTTCTTCAGTGGCGGCTGGTGGCTGCTAGAGAACGACTCTGCCGATGTCACTGGTGGTCTTCAGGCTACCGTCGACGCAGTCAAGATGAAGGTTGTGGACCAGATCCTGCAGTCGAGCGGCTACTACCTCTTGGTGGACCGCCACGACAACACCCTTGAGCTCTGTGGCACGCCGCTGGGCCGTCAGTGGATGCCCGTCAGAGTTGGTGAGGCTGACCACTGCATGTACGTTGCGAAGGTTGGAGAGGGCTTGGGCAGTTTCTATGAAGCACCGGCTGAGGTCTACGAAGCCATGGCTGAGTACGGACTGGGAAACCGCATGGCATACTACCGAATTCTGCTCGATTGCGCCCTGAACAGCGCTGGAGATTCGTCTGTGCGGACCGACGCCCTGGTTCCTGGGCAGATCCCGCTGTGTTACTTCAACATGAAGGCAGTCTATCTGGATAGGCAGGGCTGTGAGACTGGTAGCGACGGCTTCTACACCTGCCAGAGCTTCACCACTGAGGATGTCAAATGATTGATGATGGAGAGAAATGCAAGCTGAGAAGCTCGAGTAAGGTAGCATTCCGAGTCGAATTATTCTTATCGCGTGTTTCTTCGTGTTCATGCCAGCCCTGACCCAACTGCACGGGAGAAGTGAATGAAAGCGACTCCTGGGCCAAAAGCCATCATGGATATCGCGCCTCATGTGAGCGAGATGGAAACTGGTGTTCGATGGGGCGATCATTTCTCAGCTCTCCACCTTAGTGGCACAGCGTCCTTCATAATCATGCTCTCACAGAATACTTACTTGATCCAGAATCACGGCCTCATCTGTGTGGTAGGCTTGAAATTTTCAGCCCTGAAATGCCAAGAAACACATGTGTCGGCATGGTCTAGGACGTTCGAGATAGCGGACGCCTCGCACCGCTAAGTTGTACGAACATTACCATTTGAATGGATAGAGGTATTGCCTTGCAGGTCTGCTTGAGGGATCTACTATGCATTCGATAATGCCGGAATACGCCTTCACGTCTTTATCACTGGTTGAATCCGTTGATATCAATTCATCAACACGCAGCAAGGTGGGCTGGTAGTGGGCTACGAAGACACAAACGAAGCTTCACACGTTTGGAAACACGTCTCTTAGGCACCTTGGGAGGCACCTATCATGGTCGCGGGCATTAAAATGGCTTGAGGAAGCTATGCATTTCTTTGTTCCTGTAGCGGGAATTAACTTACGCTTTCTGTAGCGCAGCATTTTACAAGCCTCCGACAGCTGACAAGACACGTTTAACGTCCAAACTTTAATTCATCAGCAGTCGTCGCTTGGTCACATCACATTAGTTTCTGGCTTGCTGGAGTTCGTTAGCTTGATCGAGGCCGGCGCCAAAGTCCGGGGTAAGACAAGGCTCACCAGGACAACACCGTTTTCGTCCCAAGTCCATGAACAACCTCGCGTCTTTCAGCCCCAAGAGCTATTAAGGTTACCAGACGGACCCTTCAGCTGGCCTGTGGATGTCACTTTCATATCGACACCGCCTCTTCTATAGTAGATGTGCCTCTTGACCTCTTTCGTTTGCAGCTCGTGCACGCTAATAGACAGGCTGTGTGGTTCTTGCAAGCCTAGAAGGCTGAGACGGATTTGTGGGATGGTGGCACATGGCGTTTTCCATGCTGTTATGATTCTATCCAGACAATAAAGATGCCCCAGGGGCCATTCTAGACCATCCAAAAACCCCGACGGCAGCCTTAATTGCTAAGGTACCTCCTGCAGCTGTCTTATCGTAGAGCTCGAATTCTCCAAAAAGGCCACAACTCTTCCATTGATACTGGATATCACACTTCACAGCAATGAAACATTTTCTTACGTCAAGCCTTTGGCTTGTATTGCTGTTAGGCAGCCGTGCTGCAGATTCTCAGTCGACTGAAGCAGTCCCGAGCGCAGTCCAGCCCATAGACAACGGCCCCGGTCCTGTTGACCCGCCAGAACCATCGGCAGTCCCAGTAGAGCCCCCCGGTACGCCTCCCAGTGATACTCCCTTGGAAGCTATACCACCACCTGAGAGCTCCTTACCGGCACCTGTTGTTCCAACAACGAGCGCCACCGAAGGCGTGATCGCTGATACTACTGCTGCGACAGTATTCGACCCGGCACCTACTTCACCTCTGGCCAACCCAGAGCCCACAGAGCCGTCTCTGCCCATCGAACAACCCCCAAGTTCGACGGTGGTAGAAGGAATCCTGCCCCCTCCGTCAACTACGCAGGCTGCTGTAGGACAGAGCTCCGCGCCCGTGGATGGGCCTACGAGTGCCCAGGGCGCAGAAGTCACACCACAGGCGAGTGCGCAGAATGAGGTCTCGGAAAGCCGGCCTCCAGCAGGCTCTCCGGCCCCAGCACCGACAAGGGATACTCCTGATTCAGTTACTCCACAGGAAGTCACAAGCATGAGCAGAGCACCGGAGCCCAATGCAAGCCCAGAGGCTACGACTACCAGTCCCGACGTGCCTGGTGGCGGCGGGGCGTCCCCGAGTCCTACGAACCCGAGGAATTCTGGTATAACTCCTTCAAGTCCCCCACGTGAAGCCCTGGGCAGTCCTGATCAATCACCAGTAAGCGATAAGACTGGAACTCCGGCCACCACTGATGAAGCATCTCCAAGTAACAAGGCTCCCGGAAATACCGACGGGAGCCCAGGCACCGCCAGTGAAAGGCCAGCACAGACGGATGCTCGAGGCTCAAGTCCCAACGGTGAGACCTCTGCCACCTCTCGCGCCACCAATGAAGAGGCAACAACTCGGGATCAGCCTTCTGCAAGCACACGACGCGGAGGTGATAACTTCCCACAAACAACATCCACCTCTGTAAGAATCTCGACTGATACGACTCGTGCAGGAGATTCTTCCAGTGGCAGCTCAAGACCGACGCAGAGCTCTTCCTCACTCGCGCCGCTTTCTACTGCTAAGCCTAGCGATGGAACAGGGTTCCTCGGTATTGACTTGTCAGACGGAACAGAATCTTCTGAAGAGACCCCACCCGATACTACTACGCCCGAACAACATGATGCCGAGGCTGAGGCAAACCTCCCCTTTACGGTCATCTCTGATGCAGACGCACAAGACGTCGCCATTCTGGAAGCCGCGATGTTCGAGTACTTTGTCGAAAACGATGCTCAAATTGGTGACGATGTGCAGGTCACAATTCCGGCTGTGGCGTCAAATTGTGATGTTGGCCTGACTAGGCGGGGTATGGAAGAGGAGAGGTGGCCGGGTAGGTTCAAGTCACCCATTGCCCAGAGACAGGCAAATTGCAAGATCGTCACGAGCTTGGATTTCGATTTGTACTTTCACTATATGTTGCCGAGCCAGACTGCCGAGCGTCCGAATCAGTTATCGGAGAGGATCACAGCTAGTGTAAGTGGGAACCGCATCTCTTTGCTGCTCCGTGTAGTCTTGATCCCACCACTGACAATTACAAGGCCGAATATGTCCAGTCGGTATTTGGACTTCGGAACATAAGCTTTAAATACGTGGGCGTAAACTTCTACACTCCGGACAAAGATGACGCAGACTGGACTACGGTCAGATATAAAGAAGACAGGCTCGAGACTTGGATGGGGGAAACCCGGAAAGGTGATAAAATGTCACTTAACGTGTGGCTAGTGACCGACTTGAAGAAAGGGGAGGGTGATGACGAGAGGGAAATCAACGAGGTACGTGCTGTATCACCTCAATCATCACCCGCGTACAGTTTCGCAAAGCCTGACTATTGCGAAACAGTATTCCACGTTTCCCGAAGACAACAGTGGCCTCATAGACGGCATCGTTATGAGACAGGCTCACATCAGCGACGTTTCGCCAACTTTGATCCACAACATTGGGCATTGGCTGGGCTTACGACATACCTTCAGCAAACAAATTGAAGACGGTGAGCAAGACTGTGTCGCTAATACTGGTCTGCTTTCTTCAACCCAAACCAGCGGCTTGAAGGACACTATGTACAGCTGCTCGCAGATACCGTGTTTTGAGACGAACGCTCGAAACATTACAAATTTTATGAGTGTAGGTCCCTTTGAGTTGTACATTATGGAGCATGGCGGCGTTTGCTGACTTGGAGCCCAGTTCTCGAGTTGCAGAGGTGATGCCACTGGTGGAGGATTCAGTATCGACCAAAAGGCAGCCATCTGGGCACGTGTGATTCAGTTTCGGCGTACGAACGCTGAAGATGAGTGTCAACCATCAAGTTCTACCACCACCAAGTCTGCCATCCAGAAAAGATCCTCTATGCAGGATCTGGTCGATGGAAAGTGTCCAGACCTTACTGCCGAGGCTGAACGAATTAGGAACCAGCCGGTCAACGGAGCTACTGCCCCTCTGGCTTTGGGTTCTTGGGGGTGGTGCATGCCATGGCTTATGAGCGCCATTATTTTAGCTCTGTAGGGCCCTGATAGCTTCAAATTCGACGTTAGGAGATTATTATCAAGAAGTTCACGTTTCAAGTCTCATGCCTTGCGCTCCAACATCGCCACTCTCACCCAGCACGATGTAAGTCCAACACGAAATCCTCTCAGCAGTTTTGCTCAGACCCATCGTGACGCTGAAAATTCACTACTGAGTTCGAGACGGGGCTGTCTTAGCAAATCTGTGGCACCCACCTCGATGTTAGCTTCTCTTCAACTCCGTGCTTTTCGCTCATTGGCATGCCAGATGGCGGCTGTCTGTTCGCTTTGGATCTGGTCTCTTAAAGACGTGAGGTTGATCATGTGTCAAAAAAGTCGCGAACTACTTTGTGTAGGCCCTAGGCGGCATTCAAAATAACGACGGGCCTCAGCCGCCAAACTCTAAAACCGGAGGTGGCTCTGCCTCGAACATCGATCGCAGCTTATCTAGTTTCATGGGATTCAGCCCTTCAGACCAAGCCACTAGCGCAACATAGAGTTCCGACTTCATTGCTCGATTGGTCCTCAGCCTCTTTCTCATGCGTAACATCGCCGTTCTTGGCAGTAAGAACGAACTAAGGAGCCACAGGTTACAGGAAACGCTCAGTCCAGTTTGAGAGAAGCCAAACTGTTCTGGGTAAATATCACTTGGTGATTCAGCCTCACCGCATATGTAGGGACTGGCCTTCGTGGACCTATTCTATGGCATCCGCTACCTGATTAGTCGTGTCTCGAGCACGGAGTCGAGACCGAGGTCTCGCAGAGTAGTGAGCTCCTGCCTTATCACTGTTGGTGTCCTCTCAATCTGGAATCAGCACACCACAACTTTCCCAATTGTTCCGATCCTGTGAAAGGACTGTTCATTGCGACATAGATCAATCAATATGGTGCGGCTTTTCACGAAGCTTGTCGCATGTCTTGCTGTACAGGCCGCAGGCGCATACGTCCATCCGAGCATGGTGACTATCACGAATGACATAAGAAGGCATCAAGAAGCGCCGGTACCGACGCCTCCTATACATGGACTGGATAGGCGCCAAACAGATGGTGCTGGCCGGACGTATACTCGTACCATTGCCCCTGACTCTGTCTGTGGCTACCTTTCAGCCTCACCTGGCAACGACATTGTCTGCGAAAACGGCGAGCGCTGCAACTGGGTCAAAGCAAATGGGCTCAATGCCGTCTTCTGTGGCATAAGCAAGAATGTAACTGCAAAAATTAAATGCTACGAGCGCGACGCGATGGCAGCCGACCCTGGGCTATGTAATGACGTTTGCCAAAGCAATAAGTTCAACCTGCAATGGTCAGTTCCTCCCAACAAAGCTTGTGGCTGTATCATCCGTACCAGGCACTGACATCACCGCCGCAAAGACCGATGGAGCAGCACCATACTGTCGTACATACGCTTATCCAGAAGGCATACGCGACTACAGATGTGCCTCGACGCCCGTAACCGTGGCACAAAGTGCGGACTTTACCTATGAAGGACAGGTAGGCCGTTCTTTTGAGACGACAGTCGTCTCCAATATTGCAAGGACGACCGAGGAATCCCAGAGCGATTCGACTCCCGCGACAGCCTCCTCGAGAACAGGAACAACACCAATCTCCACTTCGGATTCCTTAAATTCGTCAAACGAGTCGAAAGGAAGTAGTGTGCCAGTTGGCGCGATAGTTGGTGGTGTAGTCGGAGGCGTTGCCTTGATCGCTCTCATCGCTGTCGCCATTTTCTTCTTTCGTAAAAGATCCACGCGGAAACGAAACTCGCCGGCAGAGAATATTGACGGCGGCTATCCTTCGGTTCAACAAGTCTATCCCGAGCCTGACCAACAGGTGTACCCACTACCATCACCACGTAGCGAACTTGACGGCTCAAAAAGCGGCATGATTTCGCCCGTCCAGTCCACAGACTATGGACGGCCCGATTCTTCGGCTTATGACGGTCAGACAGTCAGTGATATGCACAGGCCGTACTCGCCGGAAGCCCAGTCTTCATTCCAACAACCAGTGGCGTACGAGATGGACCAAGGGAACAGCCACAATAGGGGACAGGTGCATGAGATGGGCTGACGGCTTACCTAGCTGGGCAGATATAGAGAGGGCACATGGTGGTACGCTTCAATTCACACATACATTGAGTCACCTTGAGAGGCACCACTGGCACACCTCACGGCTTGGTATTGAAAGTGGATCAAAGATTGAGAATCGGACTGACTCGGTGATTTGTGGTGCAAGGTGGCAGTGTGAGAAGTTCTTTAAGTGGTATTTTATGCTTGTTCCCAAGCCGGGCTTCGTCACGAACTGTTTGCAGATCTAATCGATCTAATCCAAAGAAGAATCCATATCGGAAAGGCCAATTCATCCAAGTGACCCCTCGTTCTCTCCTGCCGGCATGAGGTTGTTCGCCCCGTCATTCAGACTGCCTAGCTCGGCCAGGTCCAATGGACTTCGTGGTGAAGAATGCCTTTGGTTGGCCTATGAGGAACTGCATACAAATGAAGGATTCTGGACCTAGGCGCATTGGTCGTGCATTACAATCCCATTTTTAGTGGTGTTGCATGATCCTTCACCAGGGATCAAACTGCATCGATATGTGATACGAGGCCTTTGGGCCTGCTGCTTTCAGGTATCCCGTCCATCAAGATATAGCGGCTGCCACCAGAAATCACTCGCGTCAAGTGTAAAACCTGCAAGACAAATAGTTGCTACCAGCTACCTTCGGAATTTACATTTTGTACGACCAAAGTTGCTCCCAGGGAACAGACGGCAATACCCCGTAGCGTTCGATGACAGCTTGAGCCACACCACTTGCTACGTATACGGTGCTCACATAATCATCTTGGCTGGCTGGCAAGCTGCGCAACGTCGTTACTGAGAACCTTGACAGTCACCTCTGAAGGATTCATGCATGCATCTTTCTTCCAACCTACCATTACCAGCTAGCGGCTATACTTTTTGCTCGTTTTCTCGCCATGCCAGTTGTATAAAGGTCAGACAGTCCCGCGTCGTTTCCAACAGCCCAAAATACCACCAAACATCCACATCACACTCGAACAACCAGTATCCAAAGTTTCGAGACGAAATGAAGATCTCCTACTTTTTCTTGTCTGTCCTCGCATCTATGGCCACGGCTGCACCCGTCGTGCCCAGCGAGGCCTCCAAGGATGCCGTCGAGAGGCGCCAGCGCTTCCCCGAGTTGTGCGGTTCTTGCGTGAACGGCTTCAAGATTTGCCACGTTTGCTTCTCTATCGGCTGTATCAACGAATCGCGCCCCTGCTAGGTCTGCTACTCACGGTTCAAATCTTCCTTCCTTTGAAGTCAGTCACACTCGAGTGTCTCTGATCTCCTTATTGCTGACCAGGGGGCTACTACAGTTTCACGAAACTGTCGAAACTGCTGGTAATATCTGTATTACTTGCGTCAAGTTGTCGTTCAAGGTTGGGCTCTGGTGCAAGGAACATGTCTTCGACTAGCGAAACAACTGCCATCATAGGCCTCAAAGATACATGTGAAGTTTAAAGCTGAAAACAGAAGGGCTTCTCGGCTGATTCTGGTGATCTGTCATCGAAAAATAGTCTCCAGGTATCGAATTCGACGTGTCAAGGAGTCTTGTGCAACGAGTGAAGGGATCGACTGTTGGTCTCTTGGTGGTCTCAAGGAAGATAGAATAATCGATACTCCTCTCTAAACCTTGGTCCATCGGCCTTCCTTGTAACTATTCCTCTATGGTGCTCGGTCCTCTCTTCTTGATTCCTACGATCAAACAACAGGCAACCCTCTGTCGGTCTCATACATCCCTCAAGTCCTGACACTACGCCAGCCCTCACGTCAGTTTTGATAATAGCAAAGGTCGTGAAGTCTATTCATCAGTCTGAAGTAACACATCAGCACTGCCGAGGGCCTTCATCCAGTTAGAGGTGATTAGAGAATTGCTGGTGTTGATCGGCTACGTAGGTTAAGCCCCATGGCCCAATCGATTATACGTAAACTGAATCTTGAAACGCACGATACATTAAATTGGGGTAACGCCACCAAATTAAGAATTGAAGATATACTCATCATAGAGATAGTGAAGATAGCGAGAGGCTTGTCAAGAATTCCGCATGATGTGCGAGTCAGATGGTCTTCCGCCGTCGCCTCGGAGGTTCAACCCATTCACAATGAACGATGACTGCCTGCCTTCTCCCCTATACTGAGTATTATACGCTTGGAGGCAGCCTCACCTATTCCGGATTCGATCGAAAGACTTTCTAGGCCCCTCAAAGATTCTATCTGTATACCATCAGGGCAATGGCCAATGAGGGACAACTTAATACCCCTGACCGAGACGTCAGGAAATCAGCATATGTTCGAGGTATGAATATCTGAACGTGTTATAGGAATGTTCCTCAAGTAAGCTATCATAATTGTGTTAAATAAAAGGTCTCCAAGATTTCACGAAACACATGGCAGATATCAAGGTTTTTTTTTTTCTTTTCAAAAAAAAACCCCCCTTTGGCATTTTTTGGAGCCTTCAAGACAAGTTTCGCCTCAAATCTTGTCAACATTTGCACGCATCGCAGTATAGGGCTGTGGACTTAATTCAGGATGTCAAGAATTATAAGAAATCATTGCGTGATGGCAGAAGAATGAATAAGTCACTTATTTGAAGGATAATGAGCATGAAAGAATGTCTGCTCCTGTCAAAGATTGCAAGGGTGTGTTTTACGTCCTGATACAGCTCAGGAGTCCAACGTAATATGGGCTGACAAAACGAAAGGACGCGACTTATAGGCTACAAACACAAGCAGAGTTTTGCAGACACTTAACGTCCGTATTGCTTATATGCCCCATATCGACACATTTTCGTCTCGAGGCTGTTCAACAGGCGTGTGCATTGATCAGAACTAAGTTGCCACCTGATCGCAACCGCAACCAGATCTTCAATGGGGCCACTATACAAGCATGTAAGGAGTACGACTAAACAATGTGTGAGATCAACCTAACCTTACAAGTGCTTGACAACCTGTGGATAGTGCTACATCTCCTGGCCGTACCTCACAAACATCGAGGTCTCCTAACATCGAGACAGCATCACCAGCAGCAATTAACAGGTGCAGAAAAGAATTCCACAGCGGGAGAAAGGAAGAAGAGAGAGTAAAAGGGGCCCAGGAACGTGCGTCGTTACAGCTTCACTTGCATGTGTCATTCTGTCAACAGGCTTGACAGCAGCAAAAGTGGCCTTGGCCAAGACCCTTGACATACCGCAAGCAAGTTTACCTGCAGACCTCCTCGCTGCTTCGTGGACCTCGAGGCCACCGACCTGCAGTGTCCCTAGAGTTTGCAGGACCACGACGGGAAGCTCCAGACAGGAGGATGAGGCCGTGACCCCTTTGACGGCGCCGATGGCATCCTCCTTCGCTCCACAGTAGACGGAGTTGCAGCGTTGCCAGGAGCCTCGAACGCAGAGGACGATCCACAGGAGATTACCGCATAAGCTTTCGCACGCCCTGCATAAGCTCCAGCTTCCTCTTTCTCGACCTCGAGTCACCCTGCTTGCCGCCCGCCTAGAGCGCGTCGCCGGCATGAGGCTTGGACAAACACATCACCCCCTCCTTGTTCTCAATAATCGCCACCCATCTCCCTCGCTCTCTGCGCAAACCGTTGAGGCCAAAGGCCTCGACCAGGCCTCGCGTCCGCACGGCGGCGCTGAAGTTTGAGATGCGCACCATGCCCCCCCCCTTCGTGGCTGAAAGCAGGAGGCGGGTTCAGCGCCGAAAAAATCCCCGACGACAAACGGAGAGGCTGATCAAAGCATATCACCGCCGACAGCGAGACCGGTGATCTAGTCATATCGCCGACAGCGGCCCAGGCGAGAGCTGATCGCCAGGTTCAGGGCGAACAGCATCCCCCTAAAGGCAACAACACCCGCGCTGTCGCCCCCCCTCCACTTCGTCCCTCACTCCCTCGGAGACTGAGCCGCGTGCGTGACAGCCTACTTCACACATGCTTGACGGAGTCCAGTGATTGACAGACGCTCGCTTCGCGCCCCAGAACTCAAATAAACGAGACCGAGCCAGATGCCATGCATGCTCGAGGCTCTGTCGGAGGGGGTTTCATGGGGGGCCAAAAAGGAAATTGTAATGAAGGGGGACGGGAAACAGCAAGTTGACCAGGGTTCTGGGTCCAGAGTGAAACAGATGCCCCCGCGGCGCGGCGTGCTCGATGCTTCGTCCGGGGGTGGGTAGCTCTGCCGGAAGGGAAAGGCGGCAGGAGGATGAAGAGCGTGAAAGAGGAGGGAAGGGGAGGGGTGGAAAGCTTCTCAACACTTTGACACTTCGCGGGGTGCTGTTGCTGCATGTTCCGCTTCTACAGGGCGCGATGTAGCTGTCCAGACTTCAACACCCTGCGAGCGTCTTTTGGGCTGCCCTGCTAGCTCAGACCTCGTCTGACGCCGGTGACACCATCGTAGGCATGACGGCCTGAGAGCTCCCAGGTCCCCTTGACGCCGTCAGAGACAGCTTCCCTTTCGGATCTCGTCAAGCACGCCAGTGCAGCCATCACCGGCCCTAGATTTGACAATGCAGGAGATAGGTGGGTGTTGAAAACGGCGCTCGTAGCCGTGTGATGCCCCCCCTATCCACGAGCCTCCAGGGGTGTTCTATGCCGACCACAACCGCGTCAACGCGAATGAAGTCATAGAGGCCGTCGACGACGGCACTGCGATAAGACGAACATTCCAATGTCTTAGAGCGACCCGTGGCACTTCTGTTAGGGCTGGATATCGTCGGCCCAATTCAGGGCAATCGTGTGAACAGGCCAGGGACAGACCCATTCCCCCACGCAAGAGAGCTAGCATAAAAGGCAAAGGGTTGCCGCCAGCGTGAGTCCAGAGGCGCGGCGTTGAACGATTCGACCACTCGGAACAAGAGGGTTGGACGCGATATGCAGAGTCATCTGTCCAATTATCCGACTATTGAATCGACATGGGATGATGGAGGGAGGGAGCTTGGACAGTGTGATGAAGAGTGCATCTACCTACCGTGATGAAAGGTGTGGCTGCTGCGCCTCTTTGCATTTTGTGACGATGGCGCTGTGCTAGTTGGCTTCGAGAAGCTCAAGGGAAGATTGTTTGCAGAAGCGGCGCGACCCCCCCTTTCTCAATGTTGCGATGGGCGCCAAGTCGACCAGGCTCTGTCCGCATATGCGCTGTGTGGGTGGCAGCAGCAGCAGCAACAGCTCTCGCAAGCTCCCCTTGCAATCCTCTTTCCATTTCATCTATCTCATCCCACGGATGATGCGGAGAGCGGCGACTTGGGAGTCTCTTGGGCGTCCATTCCTATAGACCACAGAGGATACAGAGGGGAGCTTTTCTGCCTCGGGAGGAGCTCGTCCACACGGCAGTCGTTGAGCAGAGGAGGCAGGGTGGGGAAGAAGAGAGAGGGGGGGGGTGAGGGCTGTTTTCACAAGCCAAAAAGACCAGCCGCCGCCACTGTGAACCCCGGCACCTCAATCATGAGAGCCAGCCCCGTCGGAGCAAAGTCCTAAAGCGTGGGAAGCGTCCGGGCTCGATCCAAACCCTGTGCCCCACTCCAGGGTCGTTATTCCCCCTTGGAACCAGACTTGCTCCTCCAGTGGTGGTGGCGGCGGCGGTGGTCGTGGTTGTGGTGGTGAGGATGGACATTCCTCGAAGCCCAGAGTTCAAGATTCAAGGGACCAAGGTTCAGGGGCCCACGGTGCATTGAGTTTGCGCTGTGCAAACGGCTTAACCCCCTGAGCTTGGGTCTGTTGAGCGACCAGTAAATGAAGTTCTAGGGCTTTTTCGGAGCTTCTTGGGGTTTGATAAGTTGGGATCGGCGCAAGGAGGGAAAACTCAATCGTGCCGAGGTGCGCGAGTCGTCGATTATTGAAATTTCAAGGCACCTGTCAGTGCTCTTCGGCGGGGGCTTGTTGAAGCCCACGCCCGCCTGCGCTGGCGTGATGAAACCCCAGATTGTGCCCGGGACCCGAGCCTCCCTGGACTCGGGCAGTCGCCAGCATTCCGAGCTCGGGCCGGGCGCGCGTCTGCATCAGACGAGACGTGACCCCCAGTGCAAGGAGCGGCGGCGAGGCTTGGTGATGAAGCAGTTGAGCGCCTCACAAGTCTATGGGCCAAAGCAGAGCCGGTCTATCAAACCTTCGCGCAACGGGTAGTTGGAACAACGTGCAGGACACGGGGTAGCCTGAGCCGCCTTGATCCGTTGGGTCTTACCCCAGGTTCATCAGGTCTGGGGAAACGTGTGCTTTGGTCAATTTGGTTGGGCTGGCGAGCTACATGCCGGCGTCGGGAACTCTGGGGATACTGGGGATTCAGGCGTTGTACCGTTGTTTTCGCCCGTCAAACTCGCATCAAATCCCCGTTTCCCCGTCTTCCAGTACGTAACATTTCGATCCAACTTGGCCGCCAACGCAACGCGCAGTCGCTGGTGCCCTGCGGAGAAGATGGAGAGGGTAGTTGGCGTTGCCTAATAACGACACCTCTATTAGTCACTGGCGTATCTTGGGCGACCCTTTGGGTGTCATGGTGGTGTCGCGGCGGAGGCGAGGCGGAGAGGCGCATGCATAGATAGGGTTTTGCGGGGTGAGGCCGACAGACGCGCCGTACGCCTCAGACACGGGAACTTCGTTTGTTGTCCATTGACCTCATCCCATCGACTATCGACTATCAGCCATCGATCTTCATCCATGGCTGATCTGCCCTAACAAAGGATGGTCGGTCGTCATGGGCGAGGGCCAAAGGGGGCCACGTCGATCGCTGTCGGTGAGCAGTGCGCTGCTGCAGGAACTTCGTCCGGGAACCGTCAGCACCAAGCGCCAGCGCTTCGCCGTATCCGGGCTGGGGGCGCGCCCCGGCTCCCTCCCTTGCCAGTTGGCTTGGGTTGTCATCCGGCCTCTTCACCGCGCTGGTGCGTGATTCTTGCTTTTGATCGTGCTCACATCGGACGAACATTTACTGGTCTTGTCCCTGCTAGCAACAAACAGATGCGACGGACTCCCCCTTACGTCGTCGCGAAAATAACCGGCGCTGTTCCGACGAGCTACCGCCCCGCGCCTCAGCCGACTACTAACTAAGCGCGAACTCACGGTAGCACCAAATTTGTGAGCCTAGTGGTGAAGCCAGTCCCAGGTCGCCCGGGAGGCTTCGTCCAGTTCTTGTGTCGTGCTGGCCCGCGATTCGCGGAGATTCGCCGGAGGAGGAGCGAAAGGAGGGTTCCTCTGGTCAGGCACCTTGCCTCTTCGCCGCCTGCTATGCAGGTATGCGTACCATGCCAGACGCACACGCTTCCTAGTCTTGGGTTCTGATGCTGCAACGTTGCGACGCCAGTTCGGCGAGGCCAATCAAGCCGCTGATCTCATGGCCGGGAACCCCCCAAAATCGATCCAGGCGCAATGGGAGGAAACCCTGCGGAGATTATGTGCTGCCACCCCTCTTAAAGGGCATTCTTGTCGTCGTTTGCTGCACTGCGCTAGGCCAGCTGAGCACGAAGTGGACGAGGTGAGGCAAAGGTGCGCTCTTCTCGCGTTTCGCTTGAGTGGGCTGGCTGCGGCGCAGCTGGGACTTCTTCCAGTTTCCGGATTCCGGTGCATTGCGGGTGAGGGCCTGCGGGAGCCAAATCTGGTCAAGGGTTCATTGCCGGCTGACACCCTTCGACATGTCAGTACCCATAACTCTGAATCGTCATCTCGAGTCGTGAGCACTCCGACGTGCCTTGATACCCCAACCCTCAGTGGCCAATGGCCGCCTAAGCTGTTCGCTTTTGCCTGTTGCAACCCTTGGCTGGTTTGGTACTTGTGACGGGGGGGAGCTTCCTGACCGTGTGTCTGTGCAGTCAGAGTCGCCAATAGCCAAGCTAAAGAATCTCGTACTATGATGCTGTGATGGAAGATGGCGGCGGTACCAAGGTATGCCACCCCTCTTCTCCCCCCACTTTCTGTGGCACTAGATGCTGGCTCAAGCAAATCTCCGGCAGGGGCATCGCCGGAGCCTTGATCTCTGACAGGACAGCTCGGTGAACATGCTCCAAACGGTGAGCTTGTGGCGTTGAGTGTTATGCCTGTCTAGCAGGGGATCGGATTTCATTAAACTAGCCACCCCAGCATCCGCTGAATTATGGGTACGTTCTCCTCTTCTCCTGTGCCCGCAACCCTATTCGCTGACAGCAGTACCCAAAATGGCCCTGCCTACTCATATATCGTTGTAAGCAGTGCATCAGGGGAGAGTGAGAGAGTGAGAAGAGGGGGGTTCCAGAATGGAACGGGAGGAGGATGGGTGTCAATTCGGGGGCGTTGTCCTCTCACAAGTCTGTCTTCTCATCCCGCGTATGGATGCCAATCCCTCCCGCTTTCAAACGGTGGCGGGTGGCCTTGCTGGCCTCGGCATTCTCGTAGTTCGCCAATGACTTGCAGGAAATCGATGAAGATCGAATGGAGTCTTCGACCGCAGCGTAAGCCACAACATCTTGGTGTCTCTCCTTCTCACACCAATGAACGTCAGAGATGGAGGCGTTCGTTCTACCGTAAGGTACCTGTGCAAGCCCAGCAGCCAAGGCGAAGGAGGGGGGGTCTTGACGTTAGGTCGTTGGCCTGTGTGCCAGCGCCCGCCGCTGCCAATCACTTACCCTGGATGCCGCTCAAGATGCGCTGGCATCAAGGGTGGAGTTTGTGAGCTTGGGGCATCTTGCTATGCATACGCGACACCAAGTAGCTCGCACAGCATCAGTCCGTCGACATGATAAGAGCGACCCTAGAGAATAGACGTAATGGAGTGACGACATGGAGTGCCTGCAAGCTTATTGGGGTCTGTCAAGAGGCGCCGTATCTGCACCCAACACCACGACCACTCCGTTTCGTGCAGCCTGTGTCACATCGCGAAGCCCTCAGGGATCCTGGTCCCCTCGCCAGGTTAGTTTAGCGCTCTTTCGATATGAAGGAAGAAAAGAGGCGCTTTCCCTAGAGCTTCTACGCAGGCTTCTGAGCAACTTCTAGCGTCAGGCGTGTTGTACATGCGCGGTGATGCTTGCACGCACTAGCCCAGTCCTCATAGATTGTCTCACCTCACTCACAACGTCTTTTTGCCCACCTAACTTACATGTACCCTGCCACCCACCCTGACCGTGGGAAGACGACCTGCAAGCCTGCGGGCGCGTGAACACCCATGGTCACCTAGGTCGTAGGGAGCACACCAGCGCGCCATGTATAACAGTCGTGTTAAGTCGCAATGAAAACCTTGGGAGGAAACCGACTGGAAGGCAACCAGCACCACAAAGGCATGCAAATATGTATGTGCCTGGCAGTCGGTAGGCGGACGGGCGGCGGCAGACCACATTGATCAGCGTTCAACGTAGGTGGTAGTGCGGGTGGTATGTAGGTTGTGAGAGCACCTGGGAGCAAGGCCAAATCGCTAAGACACTGACTGATAAACCCCCCCCCCCCTAACGGACTAATAAGTGAGTGAGTGAATCCATGACCATCGATGTTTGGTTGTGCAATGTGCTCCGACCCGCCGTTCACACTTGCGCAATCGCCGTGAGCAATTAGCCGCTCAGCCTGGTAGCCCTGTCTTCAGGTGCCGCTGAATTAAATGCAGTAGTTCTGGCGCCGGAAAATCCGAGCTCTCTCTCCATCACGCGCGATGGTGAGCTGGACGGAGCAATCGGCCCTCAACTCGGTTTATTCAAAGACCGATGGACTGTTATCTGCTCTAGTGCAGTGGGCACCCTACCCACTTGTGCCTTGGGAGCCCTTGGCGGTAGTGCAAGGGAGCGCTGGATTTGCCGGCCATGGAGAGCTTCCAGTTGGTCGGTGCTGTTGCCGATCTCTCAGCTCAAGACGGGCGAGGCGTGCGCCTGTCGGCAGGGTCCGAAACGGAGTTGCGCGATGCCTCGGAAGCCTCGCGCTGTGGGTTCGAGGAAGGA